AGCAACAAACCTAATGTTCCTTTAGAATCTAGCTAGTGACTCACAAAAAACAAAATGTAATGGAAACGACAAAATGACAAAACAATATTTTAAAATTCCATTTTTGAGCTCCTCCACCTCAGGTGGTTTAGGAAGTTATATCAGATCCTCAAATTATAACATCCAATTTTCTGTTGAAGGTTCCTTGACTTCCAGGTCAGCCATTACAACTCACCTTGTTGGGACCTAACCTACTTCATGTTTGCCTCTATTGAACCCAAGCTCCGGCGTGCGCATTATGACAGTCTCCTGAGAACATATACAAACAGTCTGTTGTCTACGCTCCAAAAGTATCATTATTCTGGAAGGCAACCAACTTATGAAGAAATAGCAGCTGAAATGGAGAGGATTGCTTTTTTCAGGCTGACACTTATTGGAGTGTTTCATCCTGTGATGACTGCTGAGGGAACAGATGCCATGGATCTTGAAAAAGTCTTAAGTTCTGAGGGTTCTGATGGCTTTAACGAATACCTCTACACCTCTGATATCTTTAAAGAAAGGATGGGGCCTGAATTTCTCAAACTAGAAGAGCAAGGCCTTATATAGAAAAATGTTGTTAAATTAATATGCTAATAAAATGTTTTCAATTAGTTTTATTATTATGTATTATCTCATGGTTCCTTGTCTAAAATGTTCCATTATATTATTAACTGGTTAGATTATATAAAATGTCAATTTTTTGAAGATGACATGAATAAAATACGAATGGCTGAAATCTAGTTTTATTAATTATAACGATTAATTAATTAATAATTAATTTCATAGCTTCTAAATAATTCTTCCAATAACGAATTTTTTTTAAATATTTTCAAATTTTCAGTTTGATAAAGAAAGAAATTTCTATTATAGTGTATTATTTTGCATCACACTTATAACAATAAGAACTTATCTACTACCAGAAGTTTATAGGTTGCCAAACAGTATCCATGAGGTTACTATTAAACTTAATTTTTAATCCTGTTCTGGTTGCACCATTTATTCAAATATCATGGAATATGATAGATACCAACGCTTTTAATAAGAAAAAACATGTTTTTAATTAATATATTAAATAAATAAATAGCATATGCCTTAACTTTATTCGCTTTAAATATACTACTTAACAGTATAAGGAACAATATAATTTCAAATAAAATACAGGAAGCCTTATCTTTATTACATGACAAGTCCATAACATTAACGCTCAATTTTGGGTTTCCGTAACAATAAGATTCATTGGGTTAATTGCTTGAATAAAATCCCATTAACAAAATTATTAGCAGATATAAATAAAATCAAGAAAGAAAATTCTTAGTTCCACAACAAATAAATTTAGTAATAATAAGTTACATTTTTATTTTTAAATAAATTTTGTTTAGTGGAAAAGTAAAAATATTTAATGATATCCTCAAGCAGCTAAACATATAACTCCATTATTAAACATATATACCTTCAATGCTCACTGTATCAGGAAATGGATATATTTTTTCTCTAACTCTAGCAAATTTCAAAAATTTATAAAATGAAAATATTATTGTTTCAGATCAAATAAAATTATTAGAACCCTCAAATTCCCAGAAGCTTAATAAAATTGTTTAAAAATTGGTTGTAAAAGCATGAAAAAGTAAACATTAAATACATAAATCTCAAGAATGGTCTGCTGTAAAATTAAGCATGATTAATGAAGCATACTGGTAATTTACTTAAATTTAAAATAAAATTCATTAAAAAAAAAATAATCAACAAAGTTACAAAGTTCATCATTCGAAAAATTTTATTTAATGGAATTAATGACAGGGACCAACATTTAATTTTTAAAATTTGAAAATCCACTTAAATTTTATATATAAAAGGTTGTGCTATTAAAAAAACAAAAAACAGTACAAACAAAACCCATGAAGGGTTTTCAGATTAGTATTTTGTTAGGAAGTATTGTTTCAATATTTGAACTTGGGACCTTAAGTTTAGCGGCCTAATGTTTAACTCACAGAGCTACTCTGCTGTATGAAAAAGGCCCTAATTTAGTTGAAGGGTCTCTGAATATCCTTCCAGAATAGACTGACTTTAATGACAATGTTGAAATTAGGATTGAGGAATTGGGGGTTCTAGGTTATAAAGATTGGGAGGAAAGGTACCCAGGACAATAGATTCATCATAAACTACAGCGGTAATAACAGAAAGTTAACAAAGGGTTGACATCTTTATGATATTTACCTTAGAGGATTGAGGATTGGAGTAATTTTTTTTTTTTTTTTTTTTTTTTTTTTTTTTTTTTTTTTTTTTTTAGTTATTATTGTATAGCCATACAGTACACCATATAACAGATTTTTTATTAAACTCAGTGCATCAGTGTATTATTAAGCAGTTTTTATAATGTAGATTTTATTCTCATTGATGTTCACTAACATGGCTTAAATATAAAATTTTCAATATCAACTTCCTTTAAAGTATTTTTTAATTTTTTAAATTTGAAATAATTAACCATTTCACATTAATCTGTGAAATAAAAAACAGTTAAATAAAAAGTATGAAAAAATTTGATAATTAATTAAAGGAGAAATAAGAGATCGTAACGGATAATAGTTGTAATAGAGGAATTGAAGGAATACGAGTGCGCCCAAGCTCATCTGAAAGATTAGAACAGGCATTCATAGAATAGAATAGAATAGAAAAATAATTTTATTCTGGGACACAGTCCCATGAGAATAATACAATAGAACAAAATAAAAAGATTACATCTGGCCAAAATAAAATCAATCAAAAAAAAGAAATAATGTAAAGAAAATATAAGGTAAACATTTTATATACAAAACAAATGAAACTATATACAAAATAATTAATACTATGACAAGACACTTAAAGCTTTTTGCACTGATAGTATTCACTTTTAAGAAATAATATAGAATTAATAAATAAAAATATATCAAATTCTCTACTAAAATCAGCTCGAATGGTTAGCAACTATCAGACTGTTTTTGGGACAGGAATTGGAATAGAAGGGTTTTGAATGTGGATATGGATGGGGAATGTCGAATTTTGATAGGGAGGGAATTCCAGAAATTGACAGAGCAAACAATAAAGGAATTTTGGAATGAAGCAGATCTGTGAGAAGGCATGTAAAGGTTAGAAGGTTGAGATCTTGTGGACAGGGAACGGACTGAGGATTTGAACTGTAGAAGGTTGAAGGCTTAAGAAGGACGATGGTTGTTGATGATTTGGTATAGGAACGTACCTAGGAAATATTGTCTTCGGAAGGAGAGGAAAAGCCACTTTAAACTCAGCAGAGTGGTGAGAAACATGGGAGTATCTTGGGGCCTCGACCACAAATCTTACGCAGCTGTTCATTAGTCTTTTCAGTCTATCGCGGAGCTCCACAGAGAGGCCATCGTACACCACACAGCTATAGTCAAAGTGGGGGAAAATGAGATAGGAAACTAGGAGTCTACGCATATGTTGAGGTGGGAGATGGCGGAAGTGATGGAATAGTTTGAGGGTGGAAATTGTCCTTCGAGAGATATGAGAAATATGGTGATTCCAAAAGAGGTTTTGATCAATGATAAATCCTAAATTTTTAACAGAGGAGTAGAAGGAGATTGGCTGGTCATTAAGGTGAAGGATGGGAAAGTCTGTATGGGATCTAAGAAGGGGCTTGGAAGCAATGACAATGGCCTGAGTTTTGACAGCATTCAACCTTAATCCATTTACATTTGCCAGGCACTGAGGACTACATGCCCCCAGTAACTGAGGAGGGGAAAATGATAGGTACATCTGTGAATCGTCTGCATAAAGGTGGTGGGAACAATGATACATACATATGTAACATAAACTTAATATCATATGGACTCCGACAATATTATGTTCATATATATATATATATATATATATATATATATATATATATATATATATATATATATATATATATATATATATATATATATATATGCGGTTTCCAAAAATGTTATCGTTGGTATTACTTAATATTTAATTGCATAGAATTCAGTGATATAAAAATTAAAATTTGTATTTATAAGGGTAATTAAGCAAATAAAAATACCCACAATGAACTTTAAATAAATATAGTGTCTATCATTTGTAGTAGACATCTCCCGGTATTTACTCCTTTATGTGACATGTGTGAGGGAATGAGAAGGAATATATAATATATATAGGAATGTGAGGTTGTACTGTGAATTGAACTCAATTGTGCAGTGGGCAAATTGTTCATTGAAAAGTCTCATATCGATAAACATTTGATGAAGAAGCAGTTGGAAAAGGACTCCAGGGAGAGCACTTGAGGCCTGGACATGAAGACGAGAAGACGTCATCTAGGAAGAGAGGCTTGCTAAATTGAAGACTAAGAATATCAAGCCTAGAGTTATAAGACTTTTATACATTAATTTATTACAGTTGATAAAATAAATTGTTTTATTATACAGGAGTGAAAAGTCATTTTATTTAGTTGTTCCATATGCCTCACAATTGAAGAATAACAAATAAGGTGAGTTAATTCATTTAAAGTGCCTTTGTCTGAAAATAGTTATTTCTACTGAGAGGATGGTAAGTGAAAGTCGTGTGATGCATTCACCAGATTTTTCTTATATATCATATGAAAAATAATTTTAAAAACTAGAAATATTTATAATTTAAATGGTTAAGTGTAACCATAATAGTAGTAAGACAAATGTTTACACCTTCAATGAAGCAATAATGTTAATTTTTATTCAATAATGGGATACTGGAACATAATTTTAGCATACATTTTAGAATGTGTTCAAAATATTCATGTAAAACAAATTGATCAATAATAAGGATTTTTGAAACTTACAGTAAATATAGATCAATAGGTTTTTATTACTACATTTTATGAATTTAAATATTATTTTAGACAATATTTTTTTTCTCTAGCACATATAAAATGTTTAATTTTACTTTTGAAAAGTGGTACTATAAAAGGATGTTGTAAAAAACAAGACAAATTTCAGTAATGAATTATTTATTAATTAATATATATATATTTCATTTATTGGGATGAAATAAATACAACTGGAATTATTCACGATATAAATATTTTATTCTTATTGTTTTTTTAATGTTCTTACTGTACATAAAAACTTTTTTTTCCCATTTTCTTGAAATAAGGTACAGTTCGCTAATCGTGAATATTATTTCGATGCTAGCGGACACTAGCTATGGAATTATTAACAATATTCTTAAATTACATATTTTAAAATAAATACATAATTGTGTTTGGGTTGTTTTGCGTAGCTATCATAAATAATATTTAAAAGTCATCCTGGTGTAGGTCGAATCGTGGTGGAAAAGCTGAGCCATCCAGCAGAGGCCTCATTGGGTTGCGATTCTGAAAAATGTTTTTAAATATTAGTTCCTAATATTAATTCATTAATAATTATTCATTTTGTTTGTTTGACATGAACACTCAAGATTTTTTAAAAACCAAAGTGGTAGGAGAAGAGATTTTTCAAATCCATTATTTGATGATACATTATCAATTAGAAGAAAAAATTCTGATTGTTATTTCACCAATTTTTTATTTGTTTATTTTTAAAATATTATCCTTACTGTTCATATCACTAAGACAAACTTTATTGAGTCCATTTTCAAAGCTAAAATTTGTTGATAAATTATATGATTTTGGCCTACTAACTGAATTTTTTATAAGTTAAAAAATCAATAGCATTATAAAGCTAACTTGATTATTGTTTAAAATAATATTACAGCTAAATAGATGTTGAATATTTTATAAAGTTCTATATCAAACAGTTTCTCTTAAGTTAATAGTCTCTTCCAAAATATACTTCAATTAAGTTGAGGAATATCATTGCTCATACATTAAAAAAAAAAAGAAAAAAATATATAGATTTTTCAGTAGTGAATGTTTGTGTATATATATTAAACTTAAAAAAAATAGTAGAAGATGTTTAATTGTAATGAATATTTCTTACATCTCTAACATTTTAACAGGTACATTAATATACTAAAAAAAGAATTATCATAACAATTACTGAAAATCATTCAACACTTTTTACCACTTGTATGTGATATTCTAAATAAAAATTTGTTTCAATATTATTTTACACACAAACATTGGTCCTTACAAACAAATTTATATTCAATTATTTAGTTAATTATAGATATTACATTAATGTCAATCAATGGATGATATACTAGTGGTATTGATGATGGTTAAATCACAAATCACAATCCTTTGTGTTTTAGATAAATTTACATCTTGTTTGATCCAACTCAGTGAAAACAGGTCTATTATAAATGAAGTAACAGAATGCAGGCATGATGTTAATCGGATAAGCATGATGATAAATGAATGAGAAAGAGTGATCTATACTATAATTTCAAAAATTCTGCTCTCCAGTTAAATGTGGATCAAGCATCTAATAATCTATATATTAGCAGGCCTTAAATTCGATGGCCACTTACGAAATTTGTAAGTTACTCCAAATCAATTGGTACTCTCCTTTGTTTCTGGCCCTGTTGAAAATTTACCATTATCTTTTAGTTTGATAAAGACAAATAACAGAATTATTTGTAGAATAGACTGGTATTGTAAACGTGTCAGGTGCTCTTATTGTCTAATTGAACTTGGAACACTGAAGTGTTAGTGTTAAAAAATGGTGCAAATGAAGTTTCAAAATAGTTAGTCTCAGATGTAATTAGAGAGAAAGTATAAAAGTGAAAGAAAGAAAGAGTAAGCAGAACATGAATAAAAGGAAACAACTTTAAATTTCACTAGTAATAACATTTTTGTTTCTGGTAAATTGCAGCTGTTTTGTTTATTCGAAGTTTTCCAGTTATTTGTTAAGATATTATGATTTTGGAGTTAATACTGACCACTGGGCTCATGGCTCTTGCAGTTGATCCAGCTCTGCCGCCAGTTTTCGTTCTCAGCTTTGTAACAGCCTGTTCGGCAAGGTCTGCTCTCTCCTCAGCTTCTTCAAGTTCCTGTTGGGCTTTGCGGAATTTGGCGAGGTTCAAGGCAGCGATTTCTTCCTGTAAATGTAATGTGGGTATTTTATTAGATACTATATACTAGATTTATATAACAGACAACAATTTATTTATTGTAAACATGAAATAAAATAAACAAGTTCAAGAAAAACTTACGGCTTCTTCAATCTGCCTCTTGTAAGTCTTGATCTTCTGTTGGAGTTTGTCTACAAGGTCTTGCATGCGTTCGTGGTTCTTCCTATCTTCATCAGATTGGAAGCTGAGCTCCTTAATCCTGCGCTCAGATTTGCGGAGGTTCTTCTGGGCGTCAGCGTGTCTCCTCTGTTCTCCATCAAGCTCGTTTTCGAGTTCCCTGACTCTCTGTTCCAACTTGGCAATGGCCTTCTTGCCTCCCTTGAGGGCGTTGTTTTCGGCTTCGTCCAGTCTGACTTGGAGTTCCTTGATCTGTGTCTCGAGGGCCTTTCGGAGTTTCTCTTGGGTCTGGGCGTGGTCTTGTTCAGCTCTGAGTTCATCTGCTAACCTCGCAGCATCAACCATAGCCTTCTTAGCCTTCTCTTCTGAGTTCTTGGCTTCGTTGAGAAGTTCGTCGAGGTCGGCCTGTAAATAATAAGTTAATTGTTTATAAATTCTACGTTTTATATTTTTATTTATTCGGGGGAAAGAAATACTTACATGGAGTGTCTGCAACTCTCCTTCGAGCTTGCGCTTGGCAGCAGAAGCGCTTGTGGCTTGAGCTGCGAGTTCGTTGATTTGTTCGTGAGCATCGGTAAGTTCTTGTTCTGCCTGGCGACGGCCGCGGTCTGCCTGTTCCAGTAGAGTTCTTGATTCTTCGAGTTCGTTTCCAAGAGCATTGGCTCGCCTTTCGGCAATGCCCAGTTGTTCTCGGGCATCATCCCTAGCTCTTTGTTCTTCCTCGAGTGCGGTCTGGACATCCTTAAGTTGTTGCTGGTATTTCTTGATGGATTTCTGAGCTTCAGCATTAGCCTTGTTGGCATGATCGAGAGCGATTTCAAGTTCGTTGATGTCAGCTTCCAGTTTCTTCTTCATGCGGAGTGCCTCAGCCTTACCCTTGGCTTCTGCTTCCAAACTGGCTTGCATAGAGTCGAGGGCACGTTGGTGATTTTTCCTGCAAGAGTAAAAAATTTGCATTAAAATAATTTAGATTTTTTAAATATAATATATTTGACAACACATTTTTATTCAAAGAATATACCTGGTGTTTTCAAATTCTTCTTCCTTCTCCTGGATGCGACGATCAATTTCTTGCCTAACTTGGCTGAGTTCAAGTTGAGCCCTGAGGACTTTGTTTTCTTCCTGTTCAAGGGCGGCTTCAGCTTCTTCGAGAGCAGCTTGGAGTTCATCCTTTTCAACTTCAAGCCTCTTCCTCTGTTTCTCAATTTCGTGAATGTTGCGTCCACCCTCACCAATTTGATCAAGGAGATCCTTGACTTCATCTGAAAAATAAACAAAAAATGGTCTTAAAATTTCATTCCATGAACAATTATTCGAATTTATCTTAAAGAATTATCATCCAAAATAATTAATCAAAAATGAACTTATTTTTTTATTGTAAATTTATAAAAATAAATACAAAAAATCACCAGCAAGGTTTTTGTTCTCCCTGCGGACAGCTTCAAGTTGTTCTTGTCCTTCCTCATATGCTCCTTTCAACCTGAAGAGCTCAGTCGAGTAGTTCCTGCATTCCTTTTGGCTAGCATCAAGTTCAGCTGCAAGGTCATCAACCTTGAGTTTCCATTCACCAATGATTTTGTCGATAGCCTTGGCCTTCTTTTCGGCAGCATTGGCAATGGCATTGGCACGGTCAACCTCCAGTTGAAGATCTTCGACTTCGGTGGCGAGCCTCTGCTTGGTCTTCTCAAGAGCAATGACTTTCTGGTTAAGAGATTCAATAGTTTCCTCAGCCTCAGCGAGCCTGGCCTGTAGTTTCCTCTTGGCTTCTTCGAGTTCTTCAGCCCTGGCAACACCTTCGCTCTCGTACTTATGCCTCCAGAGTTGAGCCTCAGCATTAGCCTTGCTTAATTGTCTCTGGATATCTGCCTTAGCTTCAGATTCTTCCTCTACCTGTTCTCTGAGGTTGTCCAGGTCGTGTTCCAAGTTACGGAACTTGCCCAGAAGGGTAGCTCTTTCCTGCAATAACATAATTATTTAATTTTCTGTTATCAATTGTATTTTTAAAAAAGTCTATTAAATAAAAAGTATATAACTAACCCTAGCCTCTTCGTCAGCAAGCCTCTTAGTGTCTTCCAATTGGGTGGTGAGGGAGATCTTAATCTTGCTCAACTGAGATACTTGGCTCTCAGCCTCCTCAAGTTGTCTGAGGAGATCTGAGTTCTCAATTGACAACTTCTTCTTGGCAGAATCAAAGTCGTTGAGAGACCTGTTGGCTTCATCCAGTTTTCCTTGGACTTCGTTGAGTTGGTGTTGGAGTTGCTTGGCAATCTTTTCAGTGGCAGCCTAATTGTTAAAATAGTGTATTAAAAATATGATTATCATCATTTCACTTCTTTGTTAGTGAGTCAACACAGGTTAAAGCCTTAATGTTTTATTAACGGTTATGGTGAGTTACATGGTTAATATCACTGCTCCTTAGTTGTATAATTTATAGTAAGTTTCTGCTCACCATTCAGAGTTAAGGAATGAAAGTTTATTATATATTAGGAAATCATATATGACAATCACAAACATACACAGTTAATGGAAAATACAACTAATTGACTGATATTCGGAAGGTGTTTTCGAACACTTTTTTTCCGAAGACAATTTTCTCTCTAAATATCATAAGAAAAAAAAATTTAATATTAAATTTATTAGCTTTCGAAATCCACATTTAGCATAAGCTTTAGTCTGATTTATTTTTTTGATTATTTTTTAATTTGTTTGCGTTGGCAAAGCTGCTCTTTTGTGTTCGACAAACCTTCTCGTTGGTCAAATGGTCGATGGAGGCACGAAGATCGTTCAATTCACACAGGTATTGGCATTTTTCCTTCTCAACCCTGGGAAACACATCAAACAAGGTTTACAATGGTGATATACATAAATTATTTAGTGTGCGGGATTTCACATTAGAAATTCAAACAAAATACAAAACGTTGGAATGGGATAAACAACGTGCTTTGGGTACGAATTGTACCTTCTCTCGGCACATTTGGTCCAAAGCGCTTCTAGTGTTGTTCAAATCGTTATTTGTATGGTTACGGTCGTGTTCAGCCCTATATTTTAAAATATCATTTAGATATATATATTTTAAATATTTGTATTAACAGATTGCTGTAATTGAGTAATTTATTACAGAAAAACAAATACAAAATTCTTTTTTTTTCTATAGATAAAATTATTAATTTTCTAGTAAGTACTCACTTGGTCTTGAGTTTGTTGAGCTGGTCAATTTGGTCACCCATTTCACTGACGGCATCGTTGTGCTTCTTGCGGAGATTGGCGAGGGTGCTTTCGTGTTGGATGTTGGCTTCCTCCAAGTCCCTCCTCAGTTTGCTCATCTCAGCTTCTCGCTTCTTGTTGAGCTCGATTTGGGCGGAAGTAGCACCACCAGCTTCTTCCAACCTCTCACCGAGCTCTTCAAGTTCGCGGGCGAGGTCGGCACGTTGTTTCTCGGCCTATATTGTATTTAACCAAATTATTATTCCGGTTTAAATTGAAAATAAAACAAAAAATAATATTAATTTTCTTAAACCATAAAAGAGAACATAAGATTAAATTGATATCTGAAATGATACAATTTATTTACTGACCTTTCCGCGGGCTTGTCTCTCGGCTTCAACTTCTTCCTCAAGTTCTTCAATTCGGGACTGGAGTTCCTTGATCTGTTTGCCAGTCTTGTTGACGATACCTTGTTCATCTTCAAGCTTGGCAGTGAGGGAAGCCATTTCCTTGTCCTTCCTCTGGATGGTCTGTTCAAGTTCCTTCTTGTTCCTTTCAAGATCGGCAACAGCTTCCTGGGTAAGTTTGAGGTCTCCTTCAGTCTTCCTCTTGGCCTTCTCAACATCTCCACTGTAAAAACATGCATGACATTAGAACTGTACTCGACGATTCTTAAGTTATCTTAGCAGTGTATATCTTATTTAATACTCACCGAAGTTTCTTTTCTCTTTCGAGTGAGTCTTCGAGTTCATCCAAAGTCTGTTCAAGTTTCGATTTGACTTTGGTGAGGTGGTTGATTTTGTCTTCGGCGGCTTGGAGTTCCTCGGCAGTCTTCTGGTTGTGTTCACTCTGGATCTTCTTTTCTTTGTTGAGTTTGTTGATGAGTTCGTCTTGGTGGGCAATCTCATCATTGAGGTTTCTGATTTGGTGTTCCTTACTAGCCTTGTCTTGGTCGCTCTGGGTAACGAAAATAAGGAAAATGTTTTTCAATAAAAGTAATACTTATAATTTATAAATATTATTAATTGATGAATTTATATTCAGTTCTCTTACCTTGGTGACGGAAAGCTCTAGGTCCTCAATGTCCTTCTTGAGACTGCCGTTTTCTTGTTCAAGTTTCTTCTTTTGCTGGAACAGTTGGTTTCTTGCGTCCTCTTCTTGTTGAAGTCTTTCTTGTGTGTCCTAAAAAACAAAATATATTTTCAATGTTTATTATTATCACTCTACAATTAAAAAACATATAAACAACTTTTGTTTTAATTTTTACTAATATTGATTTTTTCTGGAAAGCTGAATCTTACAAAGGTATATTCACATGAATACTTTTATGTTATCATTTATATTGAATAATCTTAATATTAAATCAACTTAGAGATAATTCCATCTCTAAATATTTTAGAAAATAATAAATTGTGTAAATAGAAAAACTGTATATTTTGTACAGTTGTAATGTTAATGGTGTGGAGGTATTAAAATTATTATGTTCCAAATACTTCTATATGTTCATTTTATTTTATGTCTCAGTACCTAAGATATTTCAAGAAGCGAAGGTAGCAGAAGAATTATATTTCCAGGGACTATTCCAGGGAGTTCCTGCAAGGGGTCATATTTGGTCCCCACGGCGGAACACTATTAGTCAGAGGTCTATTTGAGTCGGCTGGCCTAAGTCCAGGCAGTCCCCGCTTCTCCACTTTCCGTGCCCATATAGGATCCATCTCAATGTCATCCGGCGAATCATCGTAGTAAGAGGCCGGTGCCAAACTTCATGGCCAGTTGAGCAGACGTTCCGATGAATCAAAATGTTTGGCGAGCAAGTTCAAGGCTGGTTGGATAAACAATAGCCTTTGTTTTGCTTTTCGAGTATTGTGTTTTGGACGCCTTAGTCATCGAGAGCCGTGCAGAATATCGGCGAACCAAAAAAAAGTCATCTGTCGTGAACTCGCTAACTGGGAAACGTTCCTGAGCACCTGTCATACACAATTTATATTTGGGGCCTCATATGTAATTTTATATTCGCACTCTTGGAATAAATTTAGACAGAAGGATATTCTGCTATTTGCCCTAGATGCCTAACTTGATGAAATTAAACTCGACACATGAGACAGATTTTCAACACGTGCCGGAAATTAAAAGTGAGTTCGTACATCCGAGATCTTGTCGTTGAAGCGGTAATTGAAAGTTGGTCTTAAAATACATTTAAAATTGTATATTTGAAACTCAAATATATCAATTTATTTCCTCTAATACCTGCTTAAGTGAAAATAAATAAATCCTACTTTAAAGGAATCATCTAATTTACAAAATTGTGGTATTTTTAACGATGGATGATTCACAACTCAAATTATGCTTAAGTGAACATATATTTTATCCTAAAAGTAATGATTCATAGCACAATTTCTTTAAAATTACCCAAATTGTATTCCACGTAGAATGGATATATTTTTTCATACTTAAATTAGTAATTAAATAAAACAAATATATTATTTCCTATAAATTAAGCACACATTTTTTAAGAATATTATTTTAAAACTAGAAATTCCATAGTTCCTACATAGCTTAATAGTTCATATTTTTTTTAAATTGTCTAATTTTAAATATATTTAGAAAGATAAAATATTGGATAAATTCAGGATGGGTTCCGAGTGTTTATTTTGGAAGATCAAGATTTCTTTTTAACTTTAATATTTCAAGAATCTATGTTATTCCGGGAGTTATAAATAGAATTTTTTAGGATCTTATTTTTTCCTCTGATTCGGTTTCCTGTTTATTCTAGTAAATTTGTGTTAGAGTCAGTTTCTAAAATTTGATTTTTTTTTTTTAGCTGAAGTGAAATTTTCTTTGATTAAATATTGGTTATATTTCGAATACTGAGCAGTACTAGTAAGATTTATTTATCATTTTTTTTTTGGAATCTTAGTCATTCAGATCTTAAAGAAGTATATAAATGAATGATTCCATATTCAAACGTTTTCAGTGGATTTATAAATTTGGGCTCATTTAAAAGATTGAAATAATGATTACTTAGACCATATTTATTAAGGTGTTTTATATTTTAAGATTTCTGTCATATGAAAATGCAGGTATAATAAGTTTGGAACAAATTTCATTGAATTAAAAATGAACAATATTGCTTCTATAGCATTCGTTGGAATGCCATGTTATTTTTACTGCAATTTATAACTGTATTTAATGATAACTAAGTTTAGTGTATTTATTAAAAGTAAGGATTATTATAATGCAACGTATTATTTCCAAAATTAATTTAAATATTGAATTAAATAAGATCATCGGAAACAATGCAAATCCAAAGTCAAAAGGATTTTGGAATATTCTTTGACTTCTCAATGAATTGGTTAACAAACTTTAAAATTTTGCTATCTAAAATTGTAATAAAATAATTTTTATCAAGATATTTCCAATTATAAATTTTAAATATAAGCTTAAACTTAATAAATAAAGTTGGAACTCACCATAAGCTGGGACTCCAAGTCAGCCTTCTGGGCCTGGAGCTTGGCAGACCTTTCTTGAAGGCTTCCAAGTGTGCCTTTCTCTCCCTCGAGGTTCCTCAAGAGCTCGGTCTTCTCCTGGAGCAGCTTGGCATTGAGGGCCTCAACCTCCTTCCTTGCTTTCTCTTCCTTCTCGAGGGCGGCTTGGGTTTGAGCGACCAACTCCTCCAGTTTCTGCAATTGCTCGCGTTTAGCTGGCGGTAACAAGTCTAAGTTAATCTTATCCATTACTTTATCCATCATTGTGGTTTGGAGTCCGGACCGCGACTGAGACCCCAAGTCTTCCAGGGGCCACCACGATAGCCCATCCGCCCCACCCCGAAGTGGGAGGGGGCTACCCCACGGAGGATATTTCGGGCACACCGCAACTCCACACCCACTGGATTAAAATCCATTTTTAGGTTTTTTTATTTAAAAGATTAATCTTTCCTCCCACTTTTTGAAATCCTTAGAATTATTTCAAATGAGATTTAGTAACTGAACTTCGTGGTTACTGGAAGGCTGAATTATACATTCTAATTAATTTTGATTTTCAAGAACAAGAATTTGACTATTAATTTTATATGTCTGATATCAAATTTGAACATTAGTCAAGAATATAAATATTTGAATTACATATACGAAATATTTCAATTAGATAATTATATTCTGTGGAATGCCAGAGTTAAAAATCACGGAGAGTCTTTTGTATCTAATTTTGTAATACGATGTGACTTTGACCCCACAATGACTGGATAAACTTAAATATTTCAACTTATTGATTTCTATTTGATGATGAAAATTGTAATGTACCCTCATCTCTTCCTCTACGTTGGCTACGTTGAGCAGGGGCTTTACTTTGGACCACATCTTCCACCAGTTCCATGTTCTCAAATTCAGGTACCTTCTCAAGTTCCTCTGGACGATCTGGAGGGCGAGTCTGTAAGTGCAATGGTCAAGTCAGTAATCTAAGTTCATAAAACTTCGATAGAGTTAAAAGGAACTTAGTGATTTCCAATTACTTATTGCCGATCTTGTGTTGAGAAAGGAATGGCTGAAAGGGTGAATTCTAATACGAGGGCTAAGTTGATTGTTAGTATTGTATAGTCAGATTATAACTAGACTAATTTAAATAATATATTGATTGTATATTGCTTATATGATTATTTCAACTCAATATTGCTGAATTGTTTATTCGCATATCGGTCCACAAAACGAAGTATTGAGGATAGTAAATAGGATTCGAGCAACATGAGCTATGCCAAATAAGAACTATTTTTACTACTAAGGATCCCATTTAAATAAGGACACCGAGAAGGGAATGGAGAAGAAAAAAAAAATAAAGGGAAACAGAAATTGTTTCAATCGAATTCCTAACTTGTTCCAAAATTAACACCTCCCCGAACACCAGGAATTCCTAGCAACGGAAATAACCACTCCGGTGACTCACACTCCGGGATTGCCGACCAGAAAAGACGAGGATCATGTTTTCAGGCCCTGAAGAAGGGGATGGTTCGAGAACAGAAACGTTTCACTTGATGTATTGCTTTGTATATCTAGTTTCACTTTAGAATAAGGAAGCCTGCGAATATTCGGATCATGGTATCACTTAATGTGACTAATCCTTCCTTTTCAAACTATTTTCTGATTTTGATGAGAAAATAATTTGCTTATTTCGGTTAGCGATAATGGGGTAAACATTTATTTGCAATTTGGAATTTAGCTTTGTCGGCCATAAAATGTCTGCGAGAAAGTTTACAGTCTACATAAAGAAACAGTGGCTGATTCATCGTCTCTTAGTTTATAAATAGCACAAATAGTTTTTCCTTTGATTGAATCATGTTCTAAAAATAGAAAATGAAGAACATTTCGAAAAGATGAAAAACTAGTTGAGTTAAGTTGGTCGCAAACAAGTTTTATCATCTTACATAAAACAGTTCGAACGTATCGTTTATAAGCTGAACTAGAATCGTTTGAAGTTAATTATGTCTCGATATTTAGATTAATTCCATTCCATGTAACTTAAATATTAAATATTTAATACTTTATAATTTAAGTGCAGAAAATGAAATTATAATGAATTTATTATTTAAAAATATACCTATAAAACAAGAATCAAATTAATTGCATCTATAGAATCATGAAACCAATTAAATGTCGAAAAATGATAATAAAAATTACTTTTGATTTTCATTGTTATGATATGAAATTGCATATACATTTATTTTTTACATGTTTATATGAACTCTTTATTTCTAATTTCATGAATAAAGAAGTAAGAAAAAGCGTCTGAATCAGCGAGTTGAGTCGATAAAATCTTATGATTAGAATATAAAATTAGATCTGAAAAGAGTTTTACCATTTAATTTATATATTTCAAAGCTATCTATTTATGTCTTATGTTCTCTTACTACAATATACCTAACACCGAGTACTAAAATTTAAAATCATGACATACCTCTGTTCTTGGAGTTTCTTGAATTCCTTTCTGCAGAGGTAACCACGGATGTATGACTGCATCCAGGAGATGATCCTGCTGAGCCTTTCATCACGAAGTTCTTCCATCTGACCCAGGACACCAGCCCTGAAGAAGACCTACATCCATCCCAAAAGGGCAAAGTCATTTAGTCTCAATGAGCGAGGATATGTCGAAAAGTGTTATTATATCGTACTCAAGTGAAGTAAGTCGATTGTTGAAGTGTATTCAGTTATGAATGACGTGGTGCCAGAGAAGTCGTTAAAATAGTTGACCTCTTTAGTTAATTAATTATTATAAAAATCAAACGTGTCGTTCAACAAGGTCGATTTCCCTCAATATCAGAGTCGGTTCCGAATATCATATGAATCAGAAAGATAAGACCCCGAAATAAAATTGGCTTCAGTGCGGGTCTAACTTTTTTGGCATTTCGTTGAGTTCGAGTTTCCAAGCTAAGTGTACAGTGTCTGGGCCTATTAAGGATGGCCACACCTGATCCAAACATAAACCAGATCCCAATCGAGGGTTCCGTTTATTTAAAACTGCAGGTGCGGGAACAATGTTCTCGCTTGTTCTCTTTTAGTAGAAACTCACACCTACATTGGTGTGAGATATTCTCAATGATTGATAAAACACATATATCTGAGGGGCCGAGGTATTTCTGAAATAGAAAATATTCCTGCCTCGGAATCGTATCCGCTGCTATTCAAAGCATTTGCAGGGTTCTCTAGTCTCCGTAGACATTTCTTATTCAACTTAACTAACACATTAATCAAATTCATTTCCGAACGTATGAATTTAAATAATCCACATTTTTATGTAAATAATAGTGATAAATCTATTTTTCGGAAAAATCTAGACTAAATTTCCATGGAACGATGAAAACCTAAAATCCTAAATATGAGAAGAATTTATAAATAAAAACTAAAGTATGCTGCAGAGGATATCAGCTTCAGATATCTCGATTTTATTTTAAAATAGACTCGGAATTTATTAATAAAATATACATGTACATATTTTTTAATTTGTAACATCCCTAACATATTTTCTCAGAGGTTTCTCTAATTTTGTCTTTATAGAACTTTTATCAAAAATGTTCAAAAGATACATTGCCAAGATCAAATGGCGATAAAATTGATATAAAAACTACATATTTTTATTTTATTTTTTGCTTCTCTTATTTCTGCAAATTCATTTTAACTGGCGATATTCTTTTAGTTCTTAATGTACGTAGTATCAGTTGCGTTTGTTCTTTCAGCATACTGCCCCTTATTGATATTTATTAAAAACCCTTGTTTCACGTTCGAATGTATTTCTATTGCTTTAGCTTTTATTTTTAATATTTTTAAAAAGTTCTTGCGGCTTTATGAGTTTTTCCTGCAGTATAAGAGAAAGGTCCCTGTCTATAATATCTAACGTTTCTTGAGTTAATAACGTGTCTTCTTTAGAAGTACAAAGATGGGATACCAATCGACGATTTTATTTTTAAAATTATACTTATCTGTTTTTAGCCACATCTATAAATTTTCCAGGGAAAAGATTGGCTGATTTGCCAGTTTTCGAAATTAGAATTTTTTTTTTCTTCATTTAGATGATTAATCATCGAGAAACTGACGCGCAAGTCAAGAAAATTTATTTGATTTATTTTCTAAAAATAACTTCTCCAAATTTATTTTAAATCGTTCAGATTTAACACGGTTTCTGTTTAGACGTTTGCTTAGTCGTTATTAATCGCCCCTTTCGGTCGATGGTGCTTTAAATAAACTTGTCAGTACCCGCCATTCTCGCCCCCCCCTTTCCAGCAATGCTGTAAATATGTCAGTCACCAGGCTGTGGAATTAATGCTATTGCACTTTTCTATTTTCGATTCGAGCTTTTCCGTTCGTCGCGAACGGCAGATTTCCTGGCCTGGGGCCCTGACACCTGCCCTCAATTTTTTATCTCCAATTAAAACTAAATGCCCTCAACAGTTCTCATTCATCGTCTGGATCTAAAATCGGTGCTCTTAAGAGCTCCTAAACGCCGGGCTGTGTTTCTCTGGTATTCTGCCAGATTGGGTCATTGATGAGATTTTAACACGTAATCGAAATTAATCGAGCGATCTTGTCCTTAATGGTTTGAAGGAATAAGCTACTTGTAAATCTTTGATTATTTCATGGCACTAAATTCAACACGATAACTCAGTTTCTGTTCATAAAGTTGTTTGTCTGTGCTGTAAAAATAAATCAGAGATTGAAACTTTGATGGTACTTTTTCAAAACATTCCAACAGTTCGTGTGAAACTCTTAAGGAGAAAATGTTCTTAAAATAGAAGTTCTTAGAAAATGTTTTTGTAATAAAGTTTTATGTTTATGGTAAAAGTATCAACTTTTAATTATGTAAGTTCTTGTTATGTTAATTAAGAAATAAACAGCAATTGGACTATATAAGTAAAAAAGAGTTATAATTTTTCGTAAATAAATTACTCGATCAATAACTCGATCATTAATTGATGTGTCGTCTGTTTGAGTAGCTAAGAATAGGAAATAAATTTTCGATAGATTTTTTGGTGAAATTAACGAAACTTTGAAATAAAATATTTTTAAAAATAAAGGTTTTACAAAAACGTTGTAATTTGAAAGATCGCAAGAGAAAAATTTCTAGTGGTACCGAAACTGTTTAAAAATAAAACTTAAAATTTTATTTCAAGCCTTGATTTAAATAAAATCGATATTAGACAATAGACCCAATATGAATTTACCAACAAATAAGGCATAAGAGACCGTTCTTTAAAAACAGATTGATCACGAACCCTTATTTTGAAAAAATAACCGTTCATTTCATTATATCATTTTTTACTTTATCTTCAAAAGAATGAATCGATTTTTAAATAAATGGGTGACAAAAATATTTTTTTTTTTATCATTGTAGAAGTCCTATATCTACTTTTATTTCAATAAGCCTTCTGTATCCACGAATAGATTCATCTGAATATAACGATTTTGTGAAAATATTGAAATGTTTCTATCTTTCTAATATTGATCTACTGTCATGTTCAAAATTAATTTCTAAAACTGCAGTAAAAATTATCTGTTCTAGAAGTGCCTGTTAAAATTGGTACCGAATCAGTCCAGTTGTTGTTTTAAATTATAGATACATATTTTAGTTAGGTAAAAACTACAAAAAAGTTATTTTAGTAAACGATATAGTAGAAAAAACTAAATTAACTTAGTGAGACTAAATAAAAAAAATTAAAATCATGCAACCATGCTGTATTGCCTTAATACGCTATTCTCATGCAGGATTTTCTTTACATACAACAATCTTGGCATGCATCTTTACCAATATGCATCTACAGTTTTGCAATTACTCAGAAGAATCTTCACATGCATGTTTTCAAGCAAAGACGATTGACACCAGGGCATAGACGACAGTAGTTTAGAATTTTGTGTTAAATCGACTTCTTGAGTCCATTAGGTGAATTGAAGAATGAAGTAGATGAGAATTCGTATTAGCTTTAATAATAGAATGATTTCATTTGCTTCTTTGTTTCAGAAATTTTTTAATATATATATAAAGGCAAGATATAAAATTTCGATTACCAAACATTCAAAGAATGTTATATTTTCATTTTTCATTTTCAATGTTTACCTTATTATATACCTCCCCCCCTCCCCAAGAATTATGTCAATTAATAATAATGCCAGGTTTTGATGGTTTACATTTTTTAATGTGAATTAATGTTGTTAGATCCTTTAATTTATTATTTATTTGTTTTTAAGTATTTTGATAATTTTATATGCGAATTAAATATAAATTGTTTTTTTTTTAAATAAACTGACCATTGTCTATTCGACATAGAAAATATACCTTTATAAAGTGGGAATTATTTTTTCAGAAAAAGACATTATGTAAATAGGAATAGCAGGTAATTATTATTAATTTAAAAAAAAAATTGTTTTAAAGATAAGTAGAGATTACGCAAAAGATTATTAATTAAGCAGAATGTATTTTTATAAATGAGCATTTTTTTTCAGATATGCTGATGATGGCCAGGCGCTGAAACTTCTGTATAAAGTAATGTTTATAGAATAAGGAGTAAATTGTGGGACAGGAGATCGAAAGAATTCGTATTTTTTTAACATAGCGTATTAAAATTCCATCCATTCTATTCATTAATAATAATATTTAGAATTATAATATAACATACCCGATTAATAATTTTAACAAAACTATTATATGATATCAACAATTAGCAATATAATTTACCATTGTTTACTATCTTTTTATTCCTTTTTTATTTTTTATTTTTAGCAACTATTGTTTATTTAACATTGGAAATTTTATTTTTATTGTGATTTTGTGAAATGAATCCATTCTATTTTCGTTCACATTTTTTTTTTTTTTTTTAACATTTTACATCAGGTTAAATACAGTGAGAGGAATATTTACAGAGATTAATTTATTTTTAAATAAATGTTTGTATTATTTATTTATTTTTATTGTCAGAGGTAGTTGTATTGACTACCTTTGTGTGCCCCATCCTGTATTGTTCTGGGTCGACGTTAATGTTCTCCAAGATCACCTTGGCGGCTTCCTCCTGGCTCATCCAATCCTTGACTCCTTTGGCGTTGAGGATTTTGTATCTAGGTCATACAATAAATCATGCAAAGACAAATCGGACACAAATCCTTTGATTTTTTGAAATTGAGGAGGAATTTTCGAGACCGGCAATCGATCTAAACTCTACGCTAGCTTTCTAAAAGCAAAATACTCTAAAACTACAAAACTAATCTACTTCTACAAATTGAGGCCGACTCTACAGAAAGGCTATTTGTTGGCTTGGTTTCCAATCTGTACATGCCTTGGTATGACCGAGCCTGAACAAGTCTGGGTTCAGATTAACAGCTTCCAGAATGAGCTTGGCTGCTTCTTCCAAACTCGTGGATTGCTCCACTGCCTTGGCGTTCAAGACTTTGTATCTAATTCAAACATGCAAAACACACTAGTCACTAGTCTGTTGGTGACTATATTGGAAATAAAGCATCTTTACAAAATCCGGTAACTGACTCTTTGTACCGGTTGGTTCCTCTAAAACTGTAAGCAAAAAAACAAATCAAATTAAATACATCGTTCAATAACTCTAAGGAGGCTGCCACCCGCCCGGTGACAGTAACTGCTACAACAGTTTTTGTCGAGTTAGTTATGTAGACAATAGGTTACATGCCTTGGTGTGGCCAAGCCTGTACATGTCGGGATCGAGCCCTGTGGATTCCAAGATGACTCCAGCCATGGCCTTCTCGTCGGTTAATTTATCAACGGCAGCTGGATTAAGGATCTTGTATCTAAAGGAAAAATGGGATCACTCAATGGACAAGTTTCATTCATCAAATAAACACTAAAGTGCGTTTTGTACTCTTGTGTTGTGATTGTGTTTTGGGAGCTGAACTACAAGGGTCTATCATACTATGTGATCTGTAATACAACATAACTTCACATACATCATTTTACTAGCTAATGACAAAACATTTCGTGCAAAAAAGGATGTAATGTTCAAGATGCAGGGTTCCATTTATATTAGGTGCATCGAGTTGCGTGTAATTCATCCTCAAATAATTTTGACAAGAACGTCAGAAGATAAGAGGGATAATCAAGTTTAATTATAATATAAAAGAAAAGGAAAAACTACATCACTATGGTCAAGATGCGAATACTAGGTGAAAAGTGCTAGGATATTTTAAAGGTGCTAAGAACTATCTGAGTGATAATGATAAACTATTATTTGGGAAATATCCATGGGAAATATTTTTATGCAATAGCTAATCTAAGGGGAAATATACGCATTACTCCGGACAGTGTTGTTCAAACCTTAGTGTGTCCTATCCTGTAACTCTCAGGGTCGAGTTCTACTTCTTTGAGACATTTAGAAGCGGCCATTTTTGGGTCAGCTTCCTTAGCCATGGTCGCAGGAGCCAGAATCATGTATCTTCACCAATAAAGAATAAATTAGATTCATTGTTCTTCAATAGATTTTCGTTGTTCATGTTCCATCTTTAAACTCAAAGATGTGGTACATGTTACCTCTTGAGGCAGGGAAATGAATTGATGAAATGCTAAGATTCAAGTTACAACTATAAAATGTATGAATATTGTAAAATATAAAAAAAAAAAATAGTGATTGAATTAATTGTTCAATGGGCTAACGATAAATAAGTGGTTGATTCAGCCATTAAAAAAATTAAGTGTATTATATCATCTAATAAATTTATTTCATAAATTAGTCAGAAACAATAATGTTGAGGCATATAGTATTGTCAAACTTAAAGCTTATTCTGAAGAACATTTTTTGTTTGGAAATTAATCAAATAATAATTGGAATCTTTTCTTAACCACTTGTTTATCATGACTGAAGAAATATAATTTGTATTATAAAATATGAGTAAAATTTGTATTTGATATAAGTGGTATATAATTTCAGATATTATTTCAGAAGCCTTACCGGAGCTTGAAGTCGGGGTATGCCATCCTGTTGGGGAAACCTTTACGACAGATACGGATACCTTCAAGTACACCGTTACAGGTCAGTTGGTGCATGACCAGGTGAGAGTCGATGACACCTGCAAACAGAACAAGATTTGAGTCTCCCCAAAAAAACATGAAACGAAGTGCTTTGATTAAGATTATTAAAATCGTATAACGAAGTTGTCAGATTTCGACCGATCTCAAACTTAAATATTTGAATGATACCGTATTAAAAAAACAAATTTATAAGCACGGAATTATAATACTCCTACACACATGTACCGGCGATAACGGCGATACGATATCCCTTTGTCGGTATCGCTGCGAATTATTGTGCTCTGTGTTACTGAAATAATGCATAGTATAATAGTGTAATATATAGTAATTATATCGCTGTATTGTCACCGACATAAAATCATACCGCCGGGACTTATCGCACTCTGTGTCGACATATGTCCCGGCGATACGATACCGTTGCTTTTTTCGGTATCGTTGTGGATTATCGCGCTCTGTGTGACTTCTCTAATGTTATAGATAGTAATACAACTATATCGCCATATCGTCTAGACATACCGCATTCTGTGTGTAAGAGCCTATAGAGTTGAAACGATTATCGTCGGAAATTTATTTTTAGTTATTCTTTTCCTAGAGTCTTTTAAAATATTATCTTTCAACTAGTATAACTTAGCAATAATGTCTCCTTTAGACAAAAAAATAATAATAATAATAAATAGAAATAAAATAAAGAATGATGCGGGTTGGCAAGAATCCTTTTCTGATCTCATTCGAACCCAAATACTATTCTCGGACCAAAAACTGGTAGGTGAAGTTGAAAATCTCGGTGGAAAAAGTCATGGATCAGATATAGAAGAAATAAGGCAGTTGGAGTTCATTATGCTTTCTATGTGCCGCCCCTCCCTTCTCATCCTTCCGAAAATTTCTGAGGATAAGAAACATTTAGCAGTCACTAGTTAGCAGCTAGGAATTTTATATTTTAGCTGATTTATTTGAAGTTCTTCATGGATTAATCTCATAAAAATAAATAAATAAATTTAATTTTCCATTTTTTTTTATTAGATGATGCCCTCATACCTGAGAATAAAGATGCTGTATTTATGAATCACCGGAAACATTTGAAAAGTTAAACTGTAATCTTTATTGAAAGTTTAAATAACGATGCTTCAATTAACCGATCATTTTCCGAAAAAAAATTAAAAGTTATTACTTTTATTAATAATTTTATTTATTTATTTCGTTACTTATTGATAATTTTAAATTACTACAAATTACATATCATATTATGTTATTTACCTGGCTGTTTCAATTCATTGGGAATGATACAACGGACAAAGTGGGGTTGTGTGCTCCTCAAGGTGGTCATCAAGTTGTTCAATTGTTCCTGAAATCACATAACCGCGAATAAATAAACAGATATATATATTTTCGAGATATTATTCTCACTTTTTGTATTTCGTACACGAATTTAAAGCATTTTCAACTTTTACGAATATTTTACTGATTTATAAAAAATTATTTTCACTGATTTGTAGTATTAAGATTTATAGAAATTTAGAAAAAAAAAATTCGTTCAATGAATCCGTCTGATATCACTTTTCAAATACATTATGGTTTTACTACTAAATCAATACTAAAATAATGTCTACCAACAAATAAGAATTGAGAATATTTCTACATCGCTAATACCAATTATATAACAATTTTTTTTAAATTATAATTCCTACTTATTAGTCAGAAAATAAATTTTAAAAATATATAAAATTCTTTTAAAAATTCGTTATCCGTCGGAATCCGTCTGATATCACTTTAAGTATTTCATTAATATCGTTATAATATGTAATGGTTTTACTATTAAACGGTCACTAAAATAATATTTTTCCAATAAATAGGAATTTTGAATATTTCAACGCCGTTAATAACATTTATGCAACATTTTAAAAATTATGATTCCTATTTATTAGTCTGAAAATAAATTTTAAAAATGTATTAAATTATTTTAAAAATTCGTAATATTAAAATTTAAAGAATTTTTTTTTTAATGAATCCCTCTCAAATGACTTTTTAACTATATTATCATCATTATAATATGCAATGGTTTCACTACTAAACGCTAATATTTTCTAAAAAATAGGAATTTTAAATATTTCAATATTGCTGAGAACTTCATGAAAAAAAAAAATACAATTCATATTTATTAGTTAGGAAATAAATAAAAAAAAAAAAACATAAACACAAGGACTCAATAACCACTCACACATGTGTCACAATTGTACATATGTCATAATGTTTGCCGATTTCATTCGGCTGTTTTATTTTATTTTTTTCTTCAGTTCCACCAAAGATATGTAAACTAGTAAGCTGTGGTTACACCAAAAGTATGTAGTTACTGTTACAAGACTTGTAGTATAGCCAGCAGTTCACGATCACAACCTTATTCTAGTATTGTGTCTTTTCCCATTTTTGTATCAGGGTAGATCACAGAAAGAATGAAAAGAATTACTTGCTGTCCCTCATGCAAGTTTTGTAAATGTTATTAAGTGTATCGGGTACTGAGGGATTAATTTGTTATTCGGTATCTCAAAAATAATAATCGATATTTCGCTTCGATTTCAGAAAGAATATACTAGATAAAACAAGAAATGTAGACTTAACAGTTGTTTACAGTTCTATGACTATAGGAGATTACATGCTTAGTTTTTTTTTTTTTCAAACAAGGTAAAATTGTGCATACTGGATATGGGTTCTACACTGCTGTGCACACTTATGTAGTGCTTTGTTTTGTTTTTTTTACTTTGGTATATTATTTTTTTATTCTTGATACCAATAGTATTTAGGGTTCTAATGGGTTTTTGTTATTTTCTACAATACGATTGTCGTTAGTGAAGGAGAATAGATATAGATGAGAGAAATAAAAACTGGTGCAGGAAATGCGTGCAGGGAGCTTCCTATGTTCGGAATACTCCCGGGTCATTAATATGTCAAATACCTTGTAGGAGGAAGATACGGTGGCGAAGCCACCACCCTTCTTTCCACGGCCACCTATAGTAATGAAAAACAGAAGAAAACTCATAATTTAGTTAGCTGTTTTGACAAGTTTCGTTCATCACTTCTTCACACACACTTATAACAATAACGACCATTTCTCCCTCTTGCCAACTCTGTATAGCACTCATTTTATATGTAAAAATATAATTTATTATAGTAAAAAAAGGTTTTACTAAACATTTTACAAGAGGAAGAAGAGAGAAAAGTGGTCAGAACAAATAAATATAAAATATGATAGGAAAGGTGAAGGAGGGAAACGTGTTAAGGGAGTTTTTCCCATCCACATTCTTGTGAAGGGATTTTATTCACCTTATAAAGGGCTGAAACAGTCATGAATGCTGACCCTTTGGTTCTCTTGGCTCCTGGAAAAGATATTTCATGTCAATCTTGTATTTTCGGCTTGTTGACAGTTGTTATTCGTTACGACAAATGAAAAACTGGTACGTATTAATAACATTTTTGAAGCCGGTTAGGACTGAATATAAGTAAAAAAATAAAAATAAAAAGCTGGTATCTGTTAGAAATGAAAAATATATTTACGCATTTATTTTAAAATAAATCTGATTTTAAAGCAACATTTTATAAAGAAGCGATAATGTTTGAATGGACTTAATGAAAGAAATGATGATTAAAAAAAAAAATATGCTTTTAAAATGTAACCAACTAATCACTTCGAAATATAGGCAGAAATAAAATTATGTTTAAGAGAATAGCTTGAAGAAAAATTAATGGAAAGCTGATTTAACATTTGTAACCAAAAGGCAAATTCAATGAGAAGAATACTGTTAGAACTAAGCTGGCATGCATGGAACAGTAAACGCAATTCATGAAATGGCACTGGCAGATTCGCGGGATTAAATTTGGTTTCTATTTATTTCTGTGAGTGATCTGAACTAATTACATAATCAACCAATTAACCATATTAAATTATAATAAGTACATATTGTGCAAAACATCTACTAAATGTAAGCAGGTATCAAGAAAATCATTATAAAAAATGATACATTAAAACATCGTTGTTCCTGTTACTATTGTTTAAGAGAATAGCTTTCAATTATCACTCTTATTATTTCAGAGGCACCGTTATTAAAAAAAAAAAAAAAAAAAAAAAACTAAATCCACAATCGAGTACTGGTTTATTTTTTCAATTATTATGGCAAGCATAATGACTTTCACAAATGAAGAAAAATCCGACTTATCATTCTATCATTCTTCGCATTTCGTATTGAACGTTACAATTAATTAATCTTTTATGACACAATGTTCGACTCTAATGACCATATAAAAAAAACATATATATAATGAAATTGTATTAATTTAAAATGAAACTAATGAAAACTTAATTAATTATAAACAATGGAGTTTTGATAACGATTAATTTATTTTAATACCCACATCTCTACAAAATTGCTGATACGAGGACGATAAAAAAAACAAAAAAAAAAAAAAAAAAAAACGAAGTAAAGTATATCAAAAAGAATATTTGCGTAAAATAATAAAGCAATGTATAACTTGAAAGAATTAAATTAAATTATCAAGAGGCTATTAAAGCATGGAATGGCAATGCACAGAGGATTAAGGCAAAAGTGAAATTAATAAAAGGATTAATTAGCATGATATAGGAATTTGAGGAATATCATATAGGAAAAGCATATTGCATAAGCAACAGCTACATACACACATATGTATACATATCTGTAAAAATAATCAGAAAACATTAATAAATTTTCATATATATTATCCCATAAGTGAAGCATGTTCATATTAATAATAAATTAACAACTAATTTATAAATAATTCATAGGTATACATCTTGTATTCATATATATAATTATTATACTTAATGAATGGATAGATATATCGCTAAAACTATTTACCTTTATAAAATTATAAACCGAAGAAAATTGATTATGTATAAATAATAATCATATTTATATATTATTTAAGATCTATCAAAAAAAAATATTGTGAAAACATTTAATATTATTTATTTAAACAAAAAAAAGTTGAAAGTTGTGTTGTATTCATGCTTCACTTACGTAATTTAAATCGTTTTAAATTATTTATTTTAATTCAAGGATCGATCTAATTTATTCATTGCTAGTTATTAGAAGAAATTAAAGAAAAAAATCTATCAATAAAATGTTATGCAAATAATATATAAAATAAATAAATAATATATCGTTGATCAACTTCACAAATGTTGTACGTACAAATTTTATAGTTTCGAGTAAAAAAATTGATAAATTATTTATCACATCATACAATTCCTTCTTTATTGATTTAATTTACTTTTATATATTATTTTATTTGTATCTATATTTGACATTAACTCAAAATATTTGTGCAGACAAATATTAGATGTTATTCAACAATTTCCCATAGGTTAAACTGTTATATCTGTAAAGTTAATCATAAATATAGGAATGAATATTTTGGAACAACATTTTTTTTAATCTATTAAATGCAATTGATTTTGTTATTATTTTTTTTTATTTTATTTTATTTTTTTATGATTTGATGATTATAATTTTTCTAAAGATATTATTGGTGATTTTTTATCTTGTTTATTGTAAAATTAAAAAAGGTCAAGTTTTTCTTCGTCCTCCCTTATTTCTTGGACACGTACCCTTGCCACCAGCATCCTGAGTAGCACCACCGGACTGTCCTGGGTGATCAGCGAAGATTTCGCACAACAGCTTGTTGGAACCCTTCTTGTACTGGTCAACGACAGTGTCGTTCAGAGGGTCCTTGTTCTTTTCCAACCATCCTGTGATGTTGTACGATACCTAAATGCAAAAGGATGCCGCTAAGTCTTCCCTCAAGCTTATATTAAAATGTGGATCAACATCCGAGACATGGTTGGCTATATGAAAAGATGATGTACTTACAACACCAGCGTAGTGACCGATGGCGAAGTGAGCGGGCTGGCAACCTGGTTTTGGTGGTTTGGGCTTCTGGAAGTTGGGAGATTTGCCTAGATGGTTGGTGTTCAGTTTGTCCTCAAAGGTCTTATCAGTAGCCTTGGGGAACATAGACTCTTCCTCAAGAATTGAGAGGATACCCATGGGCTGAAATACACAAATAATGTATGAGCAAAAATGTTATGGTAAAGGAAAAACTAACACTCTATTTTTTAGATATAATTTCAGATAGTGAATTTCTTAAAAATCTTTAGAATAATTATTGTAATTCTACAATTATTCAATTAATAGATATAAAAAAGCCAAATTAATTCAAAGGTTAAATAGACAAAGATAAATTATTTTAAATATGAAAATAGATATATTCTACTCTAAACACATAGGATTAAAAAAACACTTAAGTGACAAATAATATAATTTCATACATGTATCTATATACAAAGGATTCTCACTACTTAAAATTTTGAAGAAGGAAAAAACAGGCAAACAAAAAGTTTTAAAAAATATTTAAAGAAAATTGAACTATTAGGAAGGTAAACAGATAGACATAGATTGGTATAACTAAGACTACTCTTGACAAAAATCTAAATACACATATACATATAACATATATTACATCTAATATAATATAAAACAAAGCTACAGTACCTTGAATCTGGTGTTGAAGCAAAGCTAATGATGAAGTTAGTAGCTGAGTTGCAGCCAAGCAAATAAATAAATTGTTAATTAGTCAAGTTAATCAAGAGATGCATATGTATTATCTCTCTTTACATCAATTTTTGAAAATTATTAAATATTTCAAAACACAAAAAAAAATATTGTGATCAGGAAATTGAGATTAACTCTATAAGTTGTACGGATAGTTCTTTCATAAATTTGTTCCAATTGAAACTAATATTAAAAAATATTTGTTGGTTATTGTGTAAAGAGAGCTTGATAATTAGTTACGATTTTAGAACGTGAATTAATTGGAGAGGTCTGGGGTCACCTTCTCGATAAGCTCAATACAGGCCGCAAGATCCATTCCAAAATCGATGAAGGCCCATTCTATACCCTCCCTAGCGTATTCCTCCTGTTCCAGGACGAACATGTGGTGATTGAAGAACTGCTGCAGCTTCTCGTTGGTGAAGTTAATGCAGAGTTGTTCGAAGCCGTTATACTATATTGGAGCAATCCAAAGCGATGTTTGTAGCAAAAAAAAGCAAAATAGTGAAAAAACAGATGGCAACCCCGCACCCGGGCCCACGGGGGCACCGAAGGGCGGAGTCCCCATCTTGGACAAAAGTACCTTTTCAATGAGCTCAATGCAGGCGGCCAAGTCCATGCCGAAATCGATGAAAGCCCACTCAATTCCTTCCCTGGTGTATTCCTCTTGTTCCAACACAAACATGTGGTGGTTGAAAAACTGTTGCAGTTTCTCGTTGGTAAAGTTGATGCAAAGTTGCTCGAAACCGTTGAACTATAAACGGCGTTAAAGACACAAAAGGGAAAAACATATAGATGAGAGAGCTTTCTTAAATTCTGACTCAAAGTCAGTTTATTTAAGAAAGAGAATAGGAAGAAGGTAAACAATTGTCTTTTGTATGTTTTGTATTCTTTGTCAGGAATTTCAATTCGTTGACAAAAAAAAATGTTAGAGGAGGATAATTAATCACGTGCCAGACATGTTAGAATGAGTTAGTAACTGGGCCAACCATCCGTTTTTCAAAACAAGATGGTTGCACAAACCCATTTTCGAGCTTCGTTCGACCAGGATTATAATCAAAATAAGAAGAAAAATTGAAAAATAACAGTTCAGTTTCAATTGAACTCTGATAGATTGGACAATTCCAAATGCCCTTCATTATCATGTGGGTACAATACCATTTCTGCATGTCGACTGGAAGGTCTGGAAAGAAAATAGAATGACTAAGATGGAACTTGAAATCCAGAATGATGATGGAAATGGACGATATAAAAAGAGAAACGGTCTGTCTTATTGACCATAATAACCTTGAAGCAAGATCGTATGGTGACCAGCTGTCCGACTTATATCTGATAACAGATTGTTGGATTGGTACCTTTTCGATCAGTTCGATACAAGCGAGCAAGTCCATGCCGAAATCAATGAAGGCCCAGTTGATACCTTCCTTCTTGTATTCCTCCTGTTCCAGGACGAACATATGATGGTTGAAGAACTGTTGCAACTTCTCATTTGTGAAGTTGATGCAGAGCTGCTCAAAGCCGTTGTACTATAGGGAACATACAAAACAGGTTATGAAGGTAGTTATGGAATAGGGGGAAGAGGTTGGGGGTGTTTACCTTCGATTCGTGTTTCATCTCGAGCTTTCATTGGCTAGCATTCAGGTGCTACATAAACTAAAGGGACTAAATATTAAACAATGGATCGAACATTAATGTTGGATGCTTGGTATTTGCAATCTTCGACAGACAAGAGGAATAAGAAATCTACGAGTTGTGGCAGCATTCCGGGGATAAAATGTGGCTGAGATACCTTTTCGATAAGTTCAATACAAGCGAGCAAGTCCATGCCGAAATCAATGAAAGCCCAATTGATACCCTCTTTTTTGTATTCTTCCTGTTCCAGGACGAACATGTGGTGATTGAAGAACTGCTGTAGTTTCTCATTTGTAAAGTTAATACACAATTGTTCGAAGCCATTGTACTAGATGAACAAACAAAAGTTGTTTTAAAATGATTTTAATTCCTTCTCCTTCTTTTTTTTTTTTTAAGGATATAAGCTTGGGTTAAAAGACGAACCGGTAAGCATTAAAGGTTTAGCAACTTGAACAATTTCTTACACTGACAATTGTCCTTTCTCCGATTATCCCTTCTAAAATTTCAGATGGAAAATATTGACCTTTTTGTCCATATTTTCCATCAATTTAAAAAAGCATTGATAACCTGGTAAATTAAAATAATATTTCTAAGCTCATTGAATCAGGTACAAATAATAACAAATATAATATAATGTATCAGATCACAGAACTCCTTAATGCAAAAACAAATTTTATCAACGTGACTAAGGTTATAAAAATTAAACTTTAATTTTAATAAGTGAAGTATCTTTGAGTTCTCTAAACTTATACAAACCAGCAATAAATTGAATTATCTTGTGCAATTATTTTTTAAACAATTAAAAAAACTAATATGAATATAAAAGTAAGGAATAAATATTTTTTTTAATCATTTCTTAAGCTATTACTATATAATTTTTAAATAAATGTTTTTAAATTAAATTTACTATCAGATTTTCTTTTTTTTTTTTTTTTTTTTTTACTATAGACTCAATTGCAATGGTCAGAAAATAATAAAGTATACGTTTATATGTCCATTGCATGTGATTTTGTTATAAAACTTATTTTTATTTGTATAACTTACGTCGAAAATTTCAAAACCGGCAATATCCAGTACACCAATGAAGTGCTGCCTCTTCTGTTTTGTGTCCAGGGTCTCGTTACATTTTTTGACCAAGAATTTGAAGAGACGATCAAACATACCCTTGGACATAGCACCAACTGAGTATGTGACCTGGAAGGAATTTAAATGATAAGACAATGCATCGTTCCTCATTGGACAAATAGTTATTCATGTATAATAAATTGTTTCCTTACCTGAGATACATTCCTACCCTGGGTGACGAATTCGTTACCGACCTTGATCCTGGGCTTCAGCAAGTTCTTGTAAAGTTCTTCACCATCGACTCCGAGGAGCTTACCGACCCTGATACCTTCCTATAACAAGCCAGAAACAATTTAAGTGGCAGAAATCAATATTGCAGCCCGAGAACTTCAATAAGTTTTAAAACAGACTTACTTCCACACCATCGGCTTCAGCCTGTTCTTCACGACCCCTCTGCTTGAACTTCATGCAACCCATGTGCATAACAGCAGCAGTGATCTTGTAGATGTCATCCTTCTCTTGCTGGGTGAAACCCAAGACGTTGAAGGCTTCCTATATTGCCACGAAAAATATAAGGATACTTTCGGACTTATGAGAGATGGTATAAGAAATCAATTTACATTTCTCTGATAAGGTAATTATTTTTATCTTAATTTTTATTTTTCATTCAATATAAAATACCTCAAATGATATCTGTGATTAAAAATTAATGATTTTATCTTATGATAAAATAAGAAAAGAAATAAAGTCACAAAATATTTCTTATTTGTAAAAGAAGTATTGTAGAGCATTGTTTTACAAATGTCTTCAAAAGAAAGTTTAAAATTATAGATGATTGCTTATATGATTACAGACAAATAAAAACTATCAAAGTCTATTCTAACCTATTCTACTCACACGTATAGTTAAATTGAAAATGAGGGTATTATGGCATGACAGAAGGAATCTATTGAAGAACCAAAACACAAAAACATGACACCAAAAGGAAAAAGAAGTTTGGATTATTAAAAAAAACACATATATATCTAAACACGTAACTAAACTACAAAACACAAAAAGGAAAACACAAAACAAAAAAAATTATATACTTACCAAAAATTATTTTTTAAAAAGAAAAAAAAAGTAAATCTCCAGGGGTCCATAAATACCTTCATTGTACAGTTGTATAAATTACTGATGAGGAAGAAAGCGATTTATGGAATAAGCTGATAATTGTTGTTCTTTGTATTTTAGCATATTTTAGCGAAGCTAGTTGTCTTTTTTGGAAAAATTAGTAGGGCTTTTTTTTTTTAAATATTAATTTTGTTAATTTGTCTCTGATGTTGTCTGGTCGGTCATGTTAGTACTAAGCTCTTAAAGTTAATAAAAAAAATATTATTTTTATTAGAAGTATTATCGCTGATATTGTCAATTATGTAGGTTCGTATGGTTTCAAAACTTGGGGCCACAACTTGTTTCCAACGTTCAAATTTTCTTTAATTCTTTTGAATGAATTTCTCAACCTTGAGAAAAATCAATTTATTATAAAATGGAAAAAAATTAAACAAGGTGTTTTAATCTTTCAGTCCGATTACAGGCTATTTGATCTACAGGTAATGTATTTTTTCATGTCAGCATCAATATTGCATTTTCATTTTATTGCTATCCAATAATTTGTTTTTAGTTTCACACAGATGGGAATATTATGGCACAACGTTTCTAATTTTGTTCTGATAAATGGACAGCCCTCGAAATGATTATAAAAAGAAATTATATTGAGGACATCTCTGAAAATATTCCAGAGAAAACATCACATCGGTGTAAATAAACGAGCAATTAAAACACTGATTTTTTTTTTTTTTAATATTCCAAAAGGCTCAAAGGTACATGGGTTCATGCATACAGAGAAAATACTGTGACACTCAACGTTCTACAATTTAGGGGGGCAAGTCGAGGATACATTAACATCCTTACGTCTGTCAATGTGAATTCTTCAGCATCGTCTACACCTGCAATTGTGACCTTACCCTGGGAGATGAAGTTGTACTCGTAAATGTCGTCAGAAAGCAAGCACTTGGCTATAAAAATAAAATAAAAAGATGGTCAAAGGTTGTTAGCTGTGAATGTGACATTGAAATAAATAAATAAAATTATGCGGCTGTGCGGCTTGAAGGGCTGCGATGATTTGGTCAAGTGTTTAGTAATTTCTTAGTTAGTCAAACTTACATCGGTAAGAAGAAACTCCTCAGAGTCGTTTACTCCCGGTATTCTCGTTTTCCCTTGGTTAATATAGTTATAGTCTTCAATCCTGTTACTCAACAGAGTCTTTTCTGTAGAAAATTAAATTGCTTGGATTATAACAACGACAACATTGTATACTTTGTGTTATTTCTGTTTAGCTAGTAGTTTCCAATACTTTGGGGTATCAAAACCGAGTAAATGCCAGTGGTTTTAGACCAAATTACAAATATATAACAATGGTCCTAAATACCATAAGAAACAAGAAAAAAATTAGAACTTGTTCCTATAACCAGATTTAAAAAAAAAAAAAAGTGTAATCTGAAATATCTTTTCTAAAATATATTTATTTTTTTATAGCGTTTAGGTTGTAAACTTTTTAGTTGTAAACGTTTAGGTTGAGATTATATCCATTCAGGATTCATGAGGCATAGTTGTGACGAAATTGAGGCACCTACCATCCGAGCATTTACTCAGTTTTTTTAGGTTGAGTGAACTATTTATAGACAATGAACTGTAAGCGACAATGAACTGGTTGCCTGTTGCTTTCTGTGGTGACTTACATCGGTGATGAGGAACTCTTCACGGTCATCGACACCAGGAATGGTGGTCTTGCCCTGAGAGACGAAGTGATAGTCCAAGATGTTATTCGACAGCAGGCACTGTTCTGTATTTCACACACACACACATTGAGGTTAATAGCCAAGACCAAGTTCCAAATGGTTGTTGGCTTGTCTTGTTTTGCTTTACTAAAGCAGAACATCATTTTTTTTTTTTATCTTAAAAAGATATGTTTCACATTCTATTCTAACATAAAGTACGAAAGCTATCTATTCTAATTCAAAGCATCTTCTTTCAGCTCAATAACATATATAAGAATATAAAAGAAAACAAGAAAAACAAAAAACAATTCTTTTGAATCATTTCGAACAAAATAACCCAGTCATTAAAGGGCCTTGGATTGATGCAAGTTTTGCGCCTGTCCTTACATCAGTCAACTGCATTTCCTCTCCATCATCGACACCTGGGATGGTCGTCTTTCCTTGGGCGATGAAGTAATATTCTTGGATGTTATTCGACAGCAAACACATGTCTGTATTACAGATAGAGAGGAGTTAATTGGCTATTCCCAGCTCTCCAGGATTTTTGCCTTTTAGGAACTTTATTGAAGGACCGAGTACCTGTCTGTTGTCCTTGATCGAATGAAGGGGTAAGGTTCTAAAAACTCAATAAATTCTAAGTATATTTGTCAACTATTGGCTTTTCAACCATCTAAAGTAAACAAATATAAAAGACTGACATGTCTCTTTAAAGAAGAATAGGAAAGAGAAATTTGAAGAATAATATAGAAAATAGATTCATATATACAGAAGAAAGAGAGAGGAGAAGAGAAGAAGAAGATGAAAAAGAGAAGATGAAAGTGAAAAGAAATAGAAAATACCCTGTCTTAACTGGGTCATAACGATTTGTATAGTCGGTTTTTGAAAGTAGGTCAAAAAAGTCTAGGTCAAATCTACTCAAAATTTTTGTTCTTGGTATTTTTTTTTTTGAGGAAACTTTTTTTTTATCAAGTCTTACATCTGTCAACTGCATTTCCTCTCCGTCATCGACTCCCGCAATAGAAATTTTTCCCTGGCTGACGTAGTTGTATTCGTAAATGTCGTTGGACAGCAGACATAACTCTGAATATTAAATAACAGTCTTAATGGTCTAAGTAGCTAAAAAAATAATCCTACATTTTCCAAAATCATTAGATATTAATAATTAATTTATTAATAAAAATGACTCATTAAAATTTTCATGTTCAAAAACTTATTACTACAGATATACTTATAAAGGCAATAATTTTTTTTTAAAAATAGTTAACTTAATAATAACTAAGTTATTATGACTATAACACTTAATTATCAAATAGATTATATGTGTTATATTATTATGTATAGACATAATTTATATATAGGTATATAACTATAATTTTTTTTTTTAATAGAAAGAAAAAGAAGCATACCCTTGACTCCCTTTACGGCACCAGACATGATCTGGTAGAAAATGTGGTAGGATCTTTCCAGAGTCTGTTGGGAGATGACACGAGCCTTCTCCAGTAGATCTGTCATAAAAAATAGAAATATTATAGAAATTAAAAGATTAACTAAATGCAGACGTATTTACACAGTTAATTAGAAACTTCTAACCTAAATATATTATATTGTAACAATAAAAAACGTTTCAAGAAATTATACGAAGCTTCATTTAATTCAAATGAAAGTTATAAGTTTCAAAACTCTTTTATTTTCACTTTTTTTTTTTTAATTTTAAATAAAAATAATGATTAAAATTTAATTACAATAAATACAACTGATGTTAATGATCAAATACATTAAAGACCTACATCATAATAATTAATTTCTTGAGATTTTTTTAAAATATCGTTTTTTTAATAAAAATGAAAAGTGATATATAACTATAAAGATACCAGTTATTTTTATAATAAATTATACTGTAGTATTTATAAGTATAATTATAATATTTTCTAAATTGTATTCACGAGATAATCTAACATTGTAACGTTTTACTTACAGGTCTCAATATCAGCTCCGGCCAGTTTTCCTGATGGTCCGAAGTGGATACGGATGAACTTACCCTAAGTAAGAAGGAAAAGTTACAACAAGCTCAACTAGATATAGATACTTCGTTTAAAGTTAATAAGTATATACTTACGAAACGAGAGGAGTTATCGTTACGGACTGTCTTGGCATTACCAAAGGCTTCTAGTACAGGGTTAGTTTGGACGACTTGATCTTCTAGGGTACCCTGTGGAATAGAAAGAAATATTACACTGAGGAAACGCTTCATTTAGGTAACTTCGGACTTGATTTAGTGACAGATATAAGTTAATCGGATTTATTCTTTTCTAATTATACCTTCTTTTCTGATACTTCTTCTTTCTTTGTGCTGGCACCAACGGTGGCGAAGTAGGCAATTACCTTCTTCGTGTTTTCAGTCTTTCCGGCACCAGACTCTCCACTATGGGTCAAAAGAGGATTTTCATTATTTTTAAACTAACTCTAGATCGCTCACACAAACTTCCATAAATTGTATCATACGTCTCTCCAACAGCAACCTGAACCGTTTAGGAAAGAAGTATTTCCATCAGGTAAAAAAATGGTTTAAAGCTGGTCTTTACAGTATATGAAATATAAATTAACGTTATTTCGTGATTTATTGCAGTTTGCAGTTGGGGAAACGTTATGAAAAAGTTGGATACATTGATTTTTTTCCTAAACTCATATTTTCCGTTTTAAAGAAATGTCTGTCGCGAGTTCCGTCTTGTACGTTTACGATTTACATTTTTTCGCATACCGTGTCCACAGCTTAATGCGTATCTGTACATTTTTAAAATTTGTTTTATTAATAAAGGAATTTGTTTCATTAATAAGGTAAGGGAAATATTATCGTATGAAACAGACCTAATTTTTTTTTTCCAATTTATCTAAGTGAATTACTTATTTTTAATTTTCTCTAATACCTAATTATTTTCATATTTTATCATATGTAAGATATGTGAAAATTTTAGAAATTTATCTATGTCTTTTTAAAAAAAAATTAATAACTTTTATTAGACGTTCGACAATACATTACAAACAGCTTGGTAAAACAAAAACTTTTTTGATATACGCTAAAATACTCTTTGTTTCATAAGAGTACAAAAATAATACGATACCGAATTAAACAATTTCAATATTATTAATAGTTATTTAACATTAAAATTCATAAAAAGAAGATTATTTATAGAACTCAAAAATGTCTTAACAATAGAAAATAATATAACAATTTTAATCTATAATGTTTATAAATATAACTTGTAATTTTTAGAGATAATTTTAATAATTTTTTGTTTTATTTTTTAGTGTGACAATTAACACTATTTATTATAATCAGTTATAAATTAACACTTTGATATAAAAATATATTAAGCATATTCGTGACATATAAACGATGACACTTACGTAATCAACATAGACTGGTTTTCTTTGTCTGAAAAAGAAACAGAATTGGCATTAAAAACAGCGAAAATATTTTAAAATAATAACACAGTATAATATATTTTTCAAACTAATCCACTGGTGCTTGATCAAAAGGGTTAATTATTTTTTTAAAGAAAAAAATATCTTCTTGATAAAAAAAAAACAAAAAAAAGCTACCATTTATATTTGAACAAAAAGGTAAGTCCCAGGCGAGTAATATTTAACATAGAAGTTAGAGAGTTAAATCTTTTGTTCAAATCAAAATGGATAATTATACAAAGAATTATACCATCAAGAAGACGAAACAACATTTTTTTTTTTTAATTTCATATAAATTATGATTTGTTCAGACCTTTTGACCAATCCTCAATGTTTTTTTTTTTAGATTTTGTATTTCTGTGAAATGTGTTGAATGAAAGGCAAAACTTATTAATCAGAAAAAATTAAATATTTTTCTGTTATATTGTGTTGACAGATCATTGAAAATTAAAAAAAAAAAAAAAAAAGCTTTAATGGTTATTCAACTATTTTTACTTTCGATTGTTAACTAATCTTGATGTTATTATGAAATATATTTAAATACATATATCAATACTCACTGGTCAACATGTTTACGTAAGCACCGTCAGAGATGGCAAAGATGTGAGGTGGGACTTCATTCCTCCTCTTACCTCTGTACAACTTGGCGCACCTCATGGTGTATACGGGGAATCTCTTGTAAGGGTTGATAGCAACGCAAAACAGACCGGAGTATGTCTGTATAAAGTGAATAAAGTATTAATTATTTAAAGACTTTGCAAGTCTAATATCATCATTGAACTTCATCTCAACCAGATTGAAAGAGTGCGGATGTGGTAATTTACTTATTTACTTCTAAACAGAAAAACTAAAAAAATAGCTAAGTATTGTCTTTAGACATCTAATGGACGTGTTTCTGTTGAGATGAAGATAGTAAATACAAATATTAAAGGAGTACATAGATAACAAATACTAAGGAACCACATACATAGCATAAACAACAAATAATCATTCCAAGAGAGATACAATAGATGACAAAGGGTATAGTGATTGGTGTTCATGCCCTTTTTCACTACAGGTTTCATACCCAAATAACTACGTATTAATATTATATAAGGAGGTTAGACTTTCTGGTTGATCAGAAAGTGATGGACAATCGAACTTGGGTTGCATCAAAACAGGCTAGTCTCAATAGATCTTACATTCAACGTATTCGATAAGTGAAATTTAATTCAATTGTTTGAGCAATGAAACTTATTGATACTTATACCAGTTTTGATGCCTGTCCATTTATTTTGTTTTTAAAGGAGGATAGAAGAAATAAAAAAGTCAATAGAAAGGATTTAAGAAAAATGGTAAGACGGTTGATGCCACTGATCGTCTTCATTCAATGGATTCACCTTGCTGGTCAAGTTGCAGGTTATCCAAGGCATGCTTAATCCGGGAAGGTTTTGGAGCATTCCTTCCAACCGGGGTTGATCTAACTTACGTAAATTAGCTTATGATAGTATCTCTGCTTAAGGTTATACAGGACAGAAGCGTCGTTGAGGTAGGTCAAGTTGGACATGTCCTCACATTTCTCGAACTTGGGTGGGTTCACTTGGCCGACCAGATCTTTCTTGAAGTCTTTTGTCTGTCAATTGAAAAGTAAAAAAAAAAATTAGTTAAATATGTTATAAAAATAAATCAGTTTGACTTACATAAATAAGCTTGGCATAATATCTCTGCTTCAGGTTATACAGGACAGATGCGTCGTTTAAGTAGGTGAGATCAGCCATGTCTTCGACTTTCTCGAATTTCGGGGGATTAACTTGGAAAACTTGTTCCTTCTTGAAGTTCTTTTCCTGCTCAATGGAAGTAACCATATTTAGTAATCAGATATCATTACCCAATATAACTTTATTCTGCTTGAAAATAGATTCGCCTTACGAATGGAAGAAACAGACCAAGCAAACAATAGCGATAAATTCATGTAGCGATGTTTAAAATATTTGCAAACTAAGGATCGAATCAAAAATAGAGAAAACAGTATTGAAAAATTAACAAACATTCTTCATGGAGTGTTGATTAAACTGAGGGCTAAAACATCAAAGATTAAGGGAGAGAAAAGTAGGGATTAAAAATTAAACGAATAAAACATAGATAACATTTAAATTTATGAAACTAAGATCATCTTATGACTCTTGATTAACTATACTACATTAAATTTGATGGTCATAGGCAATAAGTTGGTAATTCGAAAAATGGTTGCAATGAATTTGTTATATTTATATCATCTCCCAATCTTCCTGAATTATGTATAAGGCTAGAAGATGAATAAATTATACATAACTCATCAATACCATTTTTCCACTTACTCACTTATACCCTATAACTATTTAGATAAGACTATCAAAATGAAGAGAAAAGAAAAATACAAAAAAAAAAAAAAATACATAAAATAACTACAACGACAAATGATAACAAACTATTCTACTTCTGAAATATTGAATTTTCATCAAGGATATGACTAAATAAGCTTTACTGAAGCAGCTGAAACATGATGAGCCAGAAACTAATTACAAAAAAATGATCTAAACTCCTGCAGAACATGATATTTTGAGCTAATATATAATTTGAATACAGAAACAAGATAGTACAAACTTCCGAACCTATATAATTATACCGACAAATCCAAAATATCTGACTTATAAATATTAATAATAAATTAAAACTCTATACAAACAAATGACAATAAATAAATAAAAAAGTTATTTTTTTACAATAGTCCTCTATTAAAAAGTAAATCTATGTACACGCAGAATTCAGTGATTCAACATTTTGAAATATCTATAGAATTAAGTATTTCTTTGATGTGTACGGAGCAAGAACTAGATGAATTTTGCACTCAGTAAAAGTAACATTCAACTTATTGATAAGCAATTTAATGCTTTTAAGTTAATAATGAAATGCTTTAATGCTTTTAAGTTAATAATGAAATGCTTGTACTACATTAATTAATAATAAGCGGTATATAATTGCCTATTTAAACTATGATTATGAAAAATACTACTGGAAAACATACTACTAAAACACCGATCGAAACCATCAGTTCGGTGTTAACTTTAAAATATTTTCTAGTTGTTGTTTTTTATTTTTATTTTTAAATCTTATAATTTCGTCAATACTTCGAGAAATCAGGTAATGATTTATTTATTTTTGCAATAAATATTAAAATATTTTTTGCAAGATAAGTGTTAAATAAACTGTCACCTATAGTATTTTTTTGTTTTGTTTTAATAAAATCTTTTAGTGTTCTAATTACTTTTTTTTGTTATATATCATTAGAATAATTGAGGTCTCCACTAGCGAAAAGAGATAAATCTATTTTAATTTATTTTTTCCTTTTTTGAAAAAAAAAAGAATTTAAATAGCTTAAAATATATTTTCTTAACAATTAATTTGCACAAAGCAACTAAGAAGATAGACCGAATTACCAGATGTTTATTCCATAAAGCAATTACATTTATTTTATTTATTTTTTTAAATGTCATCACACGTTGTTACTTGAAGCCTCGATCAAAATCACGAAAAATTTAATCAAAATCAAGACAATAATGATATATTTTTGTAGATATTCATTAAAAAATATATATTTTTTAAATCTTGTAGACAACTAATAAATTAATTTAATACCTGAAAGCTATATTATTTAGATTTTTTATCATTAAACTTTTTGACATCCAATTTTTTTTTTATCGATTCATTCCAAATTTTCTTGTTTATTATGTTAAATTTACTTCTGATTTATTTTTTTATTTTATTTTTTTTTTACCATCCATGAAATATACTTACTTCGCCACCGGGGAGCTTGACTGAGACAATATCTCCCTTGGTTCCTTGGATTTCACCCTGGAGGAAACCTTCGGCTTCATCGGGGACCCAGCAAGCCTTCTTGGCGTCGTATGGTTTCGTTTGATCGATTCTCTTCTGTTCCAGAGATACGAAGAGATATGGGGTTGGATCGGGGTCATCAGCCCCTACTTGCATACCTGCAGGTCCTTTCGACGCCATTCTGTCCTTGTCCTGTCTGCAGCGGGCTTAAAAGATATAGGACAGCCCTTCTGAAACAAAGTGAAACGATATTGATCTTTGGAATATTTTAAAAAGTATTGAAGTATATTTAAAGTATAATCAAAAGAACGTCCTCAATGAATATAAGACGAGAGGAGACTACTACTTCTATGGCAGTCAAATAATTAAAAGTATACATTGATTGATTTTACTCAGGGGCACAAAAATTGATATATACATTGTTCAATAGAAAATGATCTATGAGGCGCTTAAGGTTGCATAACAAACTACCACCCAATTCAGCAACATTAGCCATACTGGATTATTATCAACCCCTCAAACATAGTAGTCCACGCCCCTTTTTATCAAATTATTAACATTATATTAAAAAATTCGTAAATAGCTTCATCTCATCTTAACATACAAATATTTTATTTTCGAAAATACTTGAATTGGAGCATTTTCACTTTGGAGATAAGCAAACTTTGTCAGTTTAATTAGGTATTAAAACCTCAAGAATACCGATTTTATTTCCACTTGATTCGAAAGATAATATGATCACAACGTCGAGAACGAAAGTGGCCAACAAGTATATTGGTCCCTTTGATGTGACTTCCATTCCCAAATATCAAAAGAACGAGGTTATACAGACCAAACGGCCCAAAATTTTTGTAAGGTGACTTTTTTTTTATTTTGTGATCATATTATCTTTTGATTCAAGTGGAAACCAAATGGGTATTCATGAGTTTAGGGTACATAATTAAATAGACAAAGTATGCCGATCTCCAGATTGAAAACGCCCTGATTCCAAGAATTTCCGAAAATAAAATATTTGTAGTTTACGATGAGCTGAAGCTATTTACGAAGTTTTAGGCGGATGGATATGATTTGATAAAAAAGATCTGTACCAGAGACTATAAGCTTTTATTTAAATTTACCAATAAAACTATTCATCGTTTGGAAATAATCTACCGTTTTAAATGATAATAACAGGAACATTGCCACGTATAATAGTAATAAACATAGCAATTTTACAGTTTTTTTTTTTTTTTTTTTGATAAATCAAAATTAATATTATTTATTATTTTTAAATCTATTCAGATATTTAATTTTTGTTATCAATCCTACACATAAAAAATATTTTATGAGCAATTTTATACAGCAATCTGAAACTAGAATGTTGGTAATATCATTTCGATCATTCATAATTAATAAAACATTAAGTTAATTATAGGCTAATCTGGAGTCTAATACTGTTTTTAGTTAGATTTTATGATAAAAATCAATGTGTGACCAACATAAGCTATCATTCTTTGTGTCCATTAATACATATTTTATCGATTTTCGTATAACATTTATTGCATCATATGATTTAATTTAATTTTCTGATAAACTATGCACACTTATAAAACGCTACTGTGATAAACAATTAATGTTTTTAAGTGAATGACTTTTTGAAAAACTGTCATGTTCTTGTTTAAACTTATTTGAAGATAAAAATGAAATAAGATAAATGTATGTGTTACTAAAGCAATATTAAAGCATTTGTTTTTATATGATTATATTTTACAAAGATATATTAATATTAATCATTAATAAAGTATTTATTTCAATAGTTAAGAACATTAGTTTGGTGATATTGCATTATTTTCATGTACGATTTTGAATTAATTCCCATCATTATTTCATTATTATTGTTGTTCAATAGGAGGTCATCTATAACGATTAAATAATGACTTTCAGTTCCTAAAATACTTAAAAATGAACTTCATAGGCGGAAATACAGCAAAACAGATAATAATATTAATTTTCATATATTTTTTATTTTTTTATTTATTTTTTTTAATGATCGTACAGAGTGTGAGTGTGCATTCTGAACACTATTATAAATGTCCTTGATTGTGACAGAATGTAATATTTCGAAATATAAAATAAAAAAGATCTTAAAATTTGAATAATGGAAAAAATTACTTTAAATTGGTGATAAAGTATCGAAATACCTTTGAGATCCCGATAGAAATAAATATATATTTTAAAATAGTGATGACTTAATAAGATATTAAAAAACATCATTTTAAGAAAACAAGCATAAATGATTACTATTGTTATGATTAGAATTAAAGTTGATTTTTTATTATAGCATCAATTAATTCATCTTCTTAAATTTATATTTTAATGAAAAAAATAGTATTTTAATTGAGAATTTATTTATTTTTTTTATAAACACATTTTGGAAAAAAATTATTTTTAAAAATTAATAAATGAAAAAATAAATTAAAAAAAACGCTGATTATTTTGCTAAATTAATTATTTTTCCAAAATGCTGTTAAAATTGTTAAGTTTTTTTATTTATAAATTTAATTTTTTTTTTGTATTTTTATGTTTTTAATTTACTTATATTTAGGTTATTTTATTTTTTTATTGTATATAGTTTTATTGTATATTTTACTTTTGTTAATTTAATTTTTTTTTTTGTATATATGGTGTGAATGTGTTCATTTATCAATATAATTATTGTTCCCGTGACAGAATATTATGTCTAAATAAATAAAAAAATATTTTTTTTCCATAATGCTGTTTAAAATGTTTTTTTTTTTTTTTTTTTTTTTTTTTTTAGCGGGTTTCTACGTGACCTTCTCATATGGTTACTATGGAAGGGAAAACAATACATATGTTTTGAAAAGCTTTCTTGGGAAAAAAAAAATTGCGGTATGTTTTTCAAATTTTATTTCACGTTTTTTGTTTTCATTTATTATCATTTTTAGTTCGTTATAGGGATATCGCGGCAGTGAGGATTGAATCGTTTCAACAGTTATTCAACCATTGTGCACACATTATTTCAAACTGTTTCTTCAAAAGACAACTATAACTTTGGCATATGATATATTAGCTGAGCGGAGAGCTATATAATAGGGCTAATATGCTATAAATATAGATATATTATAGGCCGGAATAGCTAATTATTCTTAACCAGTGACCCTAAAGGGGTTGGCACGGAGGTGCTGGCACCTTCACGAGGTTTCGGCTGTCTGGGCCTTTTTAGGACTCAGAGCCGGCTCGCGTCTGTTTTTATTTCTTCTTCTTTTTTTTCGTCGTTTCTTTTTTAGCTCGTTTTTGTTCTATCATCCTTGACATTCTTTAACAGAGATATTATTTTTAAACGGCCCGTTTCTAGAATAGTACTGCCTTTTTTAAAATAAATAGTAAAAAAAAAATATGTTTTTAGATCCTATTTGAAAAATAATTACAGTAAGTTGATGCATCTTTAAATATTTCGATCAATCTGTTAAATATATTTTAAACTTTCTATTAATTGTTTAATTACAATTAAATTCTCATACAATTATATTAAATCTATAATAGTAATATTAAAATAAAGTTTGTAATAAGTATATATACGAACATACTATATCACCATTGTTAATAAGTTGATTAACATGTATGATGGGCATGAGACATACAATATATTCCAAAGAGATAAGTTATTTTCATATTATTAATATGATTAAATTTTATTATATCTTATTTTAATTATTATTTACACTTTTCGACCACATATATCAGAAGAACAAAATTATTTTTTATTCATTAAATGTGCAATAAATGAAATATTTAGAGTTTATTTATTAAATATGATGATATTTATAAATATCCAAAAAAAATATATATATTCACACTAAAGTTTGAACAAAATTAGTCACTTTATTTTTTATTTTTTAAATTACTTCTATTCCACTTCATACTTCATACGAAAAGAAAAAAAGCATTATTAATTATATCAGTTGACAATATAAAAATATGGTTTACATACAATATTTTGAACGGAAAATTAAATAATCTAAAGATAAGCAACTAATTATAACTTTAAATTAAATTATTTCAGGCTAAAAAAGAATAACCAATGCATAATCAATAATTGGACAAGAGAATAACATTTATTGTTTCTAAAAATTACTTTCCTAGTTTGAGAAAAAAAAAAAATTTTTGTTTTATGAATCATTTTCTAAACAATAAAAAATTATAAATTATTATGCTTCATTAATTTATATGGCTAGTGCCTATTAGGTAAAGGTTTTATAATTCAAAAATTAATTTGAATTTATATTTTTAAAAAATAAAGTAAAATAAAAAATATATAGTTTTATTGAAATTTTTTTCAAGAAGTTAAAGTAAGATAGATAGGGACGAGACACCAGATATTAAATAAATAAAACCATTTAGAAATAATATACGATTGTTTGAATATTTGCAGCTTTTTATAATTAATTTATTTTCTTACATAAATCTAGATTAATATTTTTAAAAAAATACTCTAATCATTACTTTTTTACTTAAATTTTTTTGTATGATATTTTTCTCAAAATTATTTTACTGTAGTGAATGATAAAATAATTTTATTGAATAATTATTGAATAAATTTACTTGAGTAAATCATAATATTAGTAAAGATCTTTTAAATTCACTGATCATTTCTTTCGCTGCCAACCAGGGCATAATAAATTTCTAATTCAATTAGTCTCTTGTCCATTTATGTCTCAGTTGTTCAACAGTGACATTATATTAACTTATTAGATAACATAATAAATACATTGACATGTATGATGCATTATAATATATTTTCTTCCAAGACGGTTAGTATTCATTCTATATCATTCACCATTCACTCTTATCAGTAGCAATCATATCATTCATTTTGATTCACAATTTCACTGTAATTTCCAAATCACAAAAAATCTATGTAGTCTCATTTTTAGTTCGTAAGTTAATTTAATTTTTTATTCGAAATAATAATTGGAGCATTTTTTAGATCATTTAGAAGCTGACTTAATTAATTATGTAATTATTGACACAATGGAAAGAGTGATATTGCTAAGTGGATTTGAATTTCTTTTCTAGATCTGTTATTCGCGTTCTCTGCAGAGCACTGACGCAGGAGCTCCCGAAATAACTGCCCATTGGAATTCCAAACCGTCGTTGCTAGATTTTTACAGAAAATCGATACCTTCAATCGATCTTATCAGTATAATCGATTTTTTTTGGTATGTAACAATCATTCATTATTTTTTAATTATTGATTCTTTACCGGTATTATTATTCAGGAAGATTTTTTTTTTTACTTATTTATTATTATTTTATTTTTAATACTATCGTCATTCATTGCAAATCAAATTCATTATTAATAGATAAAGATTTTTTTCTTTATTGTTTAATTTTTATGTTATTTTTATTTTTTTTTTTTTTGCACAATTTCATTCGGTTTCAGTTGAGGTGAATTTTATTTTATTTTTAATTTACTATATTTATTTAATAGTTATCAACAGATTTTATTTTGTTAATAATGAACTAAGATAGAACAAAAGATATTTCATATATATTTAACTAGAATGATTTTAATTATCTGAATATGTTTTATTTTTTGTAAATATTGTTATTATATTTTATTTCTATTCTTTTATCGCTTTTATCTCAATTGAATACTGGTCAACTATCAGTTTTTCGATGTGATAATAATTTTGATTATTCACTTTACTTTATTAAGTCCGGTTGCTGATTAGATATAATAGTATTCATAATTTCAACGAATGTTTATTAATTAAACAACGCTTATGCAGCATTTAAAAGCCAAGTGTTGAAAGCATAAGGAAGCTTGAAGACAAGATGGCTGCCAGTCATTTGGCAAGAAGTGGGCCTTCTAAATCTGTATTCAGAGCCTTGTTTATCGTATTATAATATTTGAGCTGCCATCTCTGCTAACCGAAGTTGGATGTGTAATATCTATATTTAGAAAACACTATTGTCCATCAGCTTATACGGAGTAGGGCTGACAAGTTTGAATTTCCATAGGCGTGCCCATTTAAAAATTAAAAAAAAAAATAATATTTAAAAAAGTAAGACTATTGTTTAAGTTTCTGAAAAGAATTCGAAATACGAAAAAGTTCTCAAGTAATTTATTCATTTTTTTTTTCAATTTCGGAACAAATAAAAATATATTAAACTATTTCACTTCAAAATCGTTGGAATTCCCAATATTTAACACACACCAAATTATTATACGTTTTTCATTCAATAGTAAACAGAAACACTATATTGTTAGGTATTAGAATCAAGCATACTTCTATGTTAATGTTAACTACAACTCACAGATAAGTTTGCCTGGGTATTACACAAAGATTATTTGACAAAAAAAAATTTGTGCAACGCCCTCCGAAAAAAAAAATTGACTAGATTGACGAATGTAAAATAAAATTCCACATTTAAAATGTTTTAAAAATAAAATTTTTTTTTTTTAAATATATCTTATGGCTAAATTTCAATGGACCAGTACATTAAAAAAAATAATAAACCAAAATTGATAATTCAAAATTAAAATAATCAGCCCCATAGTGCTATTAGTGTTTTTTTTTAAGTTTATTTCATTTTAAAACGGTTATTCCATTATCTGGAATTTCCACGAATATTTTTTGCACCCCAGTTATTCAAAATGAAGTCCATATGGAATGTTTTGTTTACTCTTTAAATCAAAATGAAAGAAGAGAGAAAAAAGAAAGTATTAGGCCGATAAAAAAAAAAAAATTAAAAAATCTTTTGAAATTATTTACAATTATAGTTAGGTTATCTGCAAGGACAATGCGTACCTGTAAGACAGACAGCCTATGGAAGACTGATCCAGTCTCGGATTGAACCCTATGAATAGTTCATCCCCTCCACCCATTACCCCCACCCCTCTCACAGTATAATTGATATGGGTCACCCTTTTGAATTTCAATCTCTTCTTGTCCCACTTCCGCCCTTAATCATATCTACATCTCGGTCGACACAATGGTTAGCAACCTCTCTGGCAGGTTAGTCTACAAGGTCTTTATAAACAACCACTCGAAACTCGATCTTATTTTTTTTTTAAATTTCAGCCCATTTAATTTAAAATAATAAACAACTATTCACTTAAAATGATATCTCGTATAATATTACATAACCCTATCCAAATTTAAAGCATTCTAGAAGATACTACTTTATTGATTTAAAAGTTGCACAAACTTATGGCCTCTTCACAGTTTTGGATCACTTTTTTTTTTAAGGATAATTGAATCACTTTGAAGAACTTTTTTTTTTTTTAATAACAGCTCCAAAAAACTGTGACAGAAGCATTGTCAAAAATCACTTACCGGTCTGATAAGGTCCAGTACAAAACTAAAATACCCAGGCAATCAGTTGTGTTAATCCCAACTGGAGAGCGTGCTGTTGTCACTATGACAGTCGTGGCTTCTCACACAAATAAAAGCGGTATCCAGTCGTTTCTCAATACCGACTCAAATTAATATTTTATTTAATTTAAGATAAATAAATAAAAAATGAATTAATTCTAAATGCAATATCCCTAACATTCACAGAACAGATCGTAACGCACTTACTTGCAGTGGTCTAGTGTCGCGGAGGGGAGGGATCGCCCGGGTTATAAGTGTAGGACACACGATACGGGGATCTAAGGCGAGCGCTCATTGGCTGTTCCCCTCCACCAATCAGAAAGCGCCTCTCACAGTAGACATTTTTAGCCAGGCGGGGACTCTTGAAGTGCTCATTCGACCCACGTCTTCTGCGAACGTTACATATCTCCCACTATCAAGGGATAATTGAATCGAAATGTAAAATAAAAATGAAAAAAAAATTAAATAATAAAGGATAAAAAAGTTGGATAAACGGATTTTTGTATTTTTATTTTATTTTCTTCCTTCCTCTTGTCCTTGTTCAATTCTGTTCGTGATTTACTGCAGTGAGTTACAATGTTTGTCATTACAATGCACCTATATTTGGTTTGGTATGTCAAGATATTCAATAAAGAAATGGAATGTCAAATATTATTCTTTGCTGTCCAATGATAAATTATGAAGGCATTGAACCATGTCCACAGTCCTTGAAAACAGCATGCAGTCTTTCCCTTAGTGAGATGTTTCAATCCCCGCAATTAAAGAGCTGATCAGATAAAATATACAAAATTTTAATGAAACCATGGAACAATCCAAGAATCCGTCCATTAGATTTCAAAATCCACTGAATTTTTATGACGACATATATAAACCATTTAGCCACTCTCAAAACTATTGGCCACAACGCTTAAGCGACATCTGGATTCATGGTCCTCTTTGAAGTTAATTATTTCCTTCTTAAAAAACTAACACTTTTATGATTATTATTATTCTGTTAGACACTATATAATTATAATTTTGTAACGATGATAATTTTTTTTTTTTTTTGTTTTTTTGGCATCTGGTCTCGACAATAATTTTGTTTTGTTCTTGGCCCAGAAAGCAAGGATAGAAACGACGACCTATCTCTGTCCTCGAATTGAAACAGGGCGTAAGTAATGCATACTCAGAGGATCCTATATTTCTTCACACAGATAATAAATGATTGAATAATAATAGAATATAATAAAATATAAAATATAATAGTAGCACAATGAATTATAGAAGTAGCATAAACATACTATCCTTTTCTCTTTCCTGACGTTATCCTATGTCCTGTTGAACAGTCTTGCAATACCAATTTTGTAATTGAACAATGATTGACAAGCTCATGCAACTATTGCATTAAAATGGAGCACATTAAAATACCTAGTGCAAGAAACAAATTTTTTTTAAAAATCATTATTTTTAATTTTCTATATTTATAAATAAAGTATATTTTTAAGCAACTATTTTTATTGAAATACCTCCCATATCAAGAAAACAAGAAATAAAAGCTTTTCAACTGTTAATTGCCGTCATTTTTGCTTAAATCACGGGTACTATAAGATAACTGGATAGAAAATCACATCATTCTTTACACAACTTGAGGTGAATCTTAAAACTTTTCCAAATAAACCTCAACTTCATTATTATGGACTTAAGGCTTATAAAACGAGGAAGTTTTTCTAAAAGTGAGATAAATGTTGAAGGGTGTTAAAAAAAAGAAAAATTACAAACCATTTTTGATTTTTTTTTTTTAAACTTAGATGAGTTTATCCGATCAAAAGTGTTTAAGTAGTTTTAACAATGACAAACTCTACTTTCGTTTAAAGTAAATTTTGTCAAGTTTACTATGGAGAAATGAGAAATGAGAAATGGAGAAAAGAAAGAACTTAGATGAGTTTATCCGATCAAAAGTGTTTAAGTAGTTTTAACAATGACAAACTTTACTTTCGTTTAAAGTAAATTTTGTCAAGTTTACTATGGAGAAATGTTTAATTACTTAAATCAAATATTTTCATAGTTATCGCGTCCTATTTAACAAACTGCGTGACTCACTTTAAAAAAACTCAAATCTTAAATTTCTCACTTTTCTGTTGGAAATTAGGCAATGGTATATATGAACTTTTTTGAAGATCTTGATAGCTAATATAAACTGCTTAAATATTTCCCCCTATTTACGGGATAACCTCTAAATATGGGTCGTTTTCATTATTGTTACTACAAGGATATCCTTAAGATCTGCACTGTAATTAAAAAATAAAATATATTCTGCGAAATTCCCATTCATTTGACGAATCATAAGCACGGCATAACAATGTCTCACATCATTATTATCGTAACTAAATTATCCGTTTTACTTTACGGATCTAACATGTGGATTCGGGTTTTTTATAGTTTATTAAATCATGGCAATCGACGAACAAAAAACTGTGTATCAAAGACCCAAGTCCATTCTATGACGATCATATCAACTCGACATTACCGATATAATTTCATTTAAAGTAGCGGCTGCAAATAGTCAGTTTAAATGGACAAATGTGCCATCAAAATATCTGTAACGATTCTGGCGAAACTGGCCTAATATCACGAAAATTAATTTAATTATGATACATCCCGAGGAAAAATGAAAAAAAAAGTTATAAAAAAATATCTATAAATATGTCTCTCACCACTACACTGAGTTAAGGTGGCTCTTCCCCTCCTTTACAAGACAATATTTCCTTGGTACGTTCCTCTATCAAATCATTAACAACCATCGTCCTTCTTACTCCTACAACCTTCTCCAATTCAAGTCCTCAGTCCATTCCCTTTCAACAAGATCTCGACCTTCTGACCTCTACATCCCTTCGCACAGATCTACCTCATTTCAGAATTCCTTTATAGCTCGCGCTGTCAATTTCTGAAATTCTCTACCTATCAAAATTCGACATTCCCCCTCCATATCCACATTCCAATCCCTCCTATTCCAATTCCTATCCCAAAAACAGTCAGATACTTGCTAAACTTTCGATATTATACATTTCTAGTCATCATCAAACGATAGTACTATTCTGTACTATGAACTTCACTAGGGATATTACAATATCATCCGGCTCTTAATGCCATTGACCACATCTGTTGTTTATTATTATTATTATTATTATTATTATTTGTTATTGGTATATAATTAAATCTGTACCTGTAGCATTAAATCTGTTAAATCTGTAGCATTTGACAATGATGAGTCTACATATTAATCATTATTTAAAGACACTGATATTTTATATTGTCAGCTTTGTCTTTTCTTTGTTAGCAGAAATACACCTGATTTTAAAGAAGAACTCAATGTATTTTTTATTATTTTATTTTTCAAAAGAGTATAATTATAATTGTTCCTACTGTACATAGTCTTAAGTGTTTTATCATAGTTTTAAGGGTTTTGTATATAGATTTTTTTTGTATATAGCTTGTTTAACTAATATTTTCTTTGCTTTCTCTTTTTTATCATTGTTTTATTTTGGCCAGATGTAGTATTTTAATTATGTTCTATTTTGTTATTCTAAAGGGACTATGTTCCAAAAAAAAGTCATTTTCTATTTCTATTTATATTTCTATAAACAACTTAAAACCAGGGTTTTGAAATCAATAATTGAAAAATCCAACTCAATTCTGATCAAAATTTTTATCTGACATTTTTAAAAATCATATGATGATTTTTCTTTAGAACGGAATTTATTTTTGATCATAAGTGATAAATATCATATCCTGATCATTTTTTTTTAAATAAATTTTTACAATTAATAATAATAATAGTCCGTGGTACAGACCCTTTTTTATCGAATTATCAAAATCCGCCTGAAACTTCGTAAATCGCTTCATCTCATCGTAACCTACAATTATTTTATTTATGAAAACTCTTGGAATTGGGGCGTTTTCAAACTGGAGGGGCGCAAACTTTTCTATTTAATAATAGAGTAACTGGAAGAAGAATACATGATTAGCATAGTATGGAAACGTTATCGAAACTCCTCGTATTCTAGAAATCCAGCATGTTACCAGATGATTTTTGTGGATATGCTGATACATTTGAAGATGAATTAGTGATGAAGCGAACTATTAGGAGTCAGTTGCATCAAAACCAGGTTCCTTCAAAAACTGATCTCTACAACAACCATATTTGCTACAACTGTTAATATTCATTTTCAAAATGAACATCTGAATTTGACTAACTTTTCCAATCATATTGATTCACATCCTTCACAGAATTAATAAATGATGATTAAGGCGGAATTTGTTTAAATTGAATCCTTAATATGAAAATTGAACTTTTATCACAAAATCTTCAAATTTTCCAAAGGTATATATTACAATATAAAATCTATTATTTTGAGGAAAATGTTTTTAATCCTTACTTACTTATGAAAATCTTTTATTTAATTTTTTTTATTTAGACGATAATTCGGATAATTTTGTCTATTTTCAAGTCAAAAATTATACCTATAATATACATAACATTATTATAAATATATATGTAAAATTATATATCAGCACATGAAGCAATAAAACAGAAATTAATAAATATCACATTAATGAATTGTACTTATAGTAACGAAATGATTATATAATTCATGAAATTATATTTTATGTCATTATTACATTTTTTAAAAATTTATACGGCATATTATAAAAATCCAAAATTTATTTTTCAAAATTCAAATCTAAAAGAAAACTATTCAAAATAAAAAAAAAAAAGAAATAAGAACATTTTATCAAAGTTTTAAAAATGACGAATGTCCGTCTGTGTGTGATATGAGGACACTCATATTATATGGCGGTGATAAATTTTTACACGCGATTTTATAAGTATTCTGTTCTTCTCATGGAAGGCCTCACTCCTTTGTTTAGTTTTTTTTTTTTATAACTCAAAATTTAATGGATTATTCCAGATGCTCATTCGAAAAATAATTTAATTCTCTACCTAGTCCACTAAAAAGAATAACATATATATATATATCGTAAGAGACCAATGAGAGACACCGTGTATGATATAACTAATTTTTTTTTTTGTAGGCTAAAGTACTGTATTGAAACTATGATAATTTAATAAGTCTTTTGACATATTTTATGTTTATAAAAAATTGCTATTGAAAATTGTTTTTTCTTCTCCTTAATACTTCTCATATAATTTGCTATTTTTCGATATTACTGCATGTCTGCCAAGTTGAAAGTGGATCTAAGTTTCCATATGAGGAATGTTTAGTGCATGATGATTGTAGTAAAAAGAATAGAAAGATAACTCTATTTTATTATTTCTTATTATATTTGATTTGATTGATTATATATGTATTAAATCAAAATTATAAAAGCAATATTTGTTGTATATTTATAACTGTTGAACAGAAGAGAAGACAGTATCTGGGTAAAGAGGAATATACCGCCTTACATAAGGAATGGCTACGGACCTCTCTCTTGTGTCTTGGAAACTTGACAAGGTTTTAATGGCGATAAAATAAACTGACTGATTAGTTTTTTGACCTTATTGTTCTTATTTATATTGATATAAATATGCACCTGTTTATTTTCCTAGTAACTATAAAAAAAAATAGACCTGTAATACTTTTTTGTCTCTTCCAAGAGGAGGCTACAGTTAGTGGGGCGCCGATTTCAACAAATATTTTTTTTGGTGATATTACATCGATAAATATTGAACACATATCTCGGAGTTCGTTCCAATGGGCCCTAGGAGTCCATAACAAAAATCGAATA